TATTTTAATCGTAAACATTTTCCTTTAATTATTGTTTTAGTTACATACCACAGTGTGTAGGTAACATTTTCATTAGTCATCAAAATATATCTTAAGTTCATTATGATTTCTGTTTAGACTTTTGGGTTATTAAATTGTTCTTGTTTGAGAATTTCCAGTCATACGAAAATTTCTAGTAATCCTTTTGCTTCTGATTTTGGCCTAATTGAATGATCAGATAACTTACTCTACATAATATATTTGTGGGAGTTGGTTTTATGGTCTAGTATGTGGTCAGTTTTTGCAAATATATCACATATTTGAAAAGAATGCATATTCTTCATTTGTTCTATATTTATCCATTATATGCATTACATCAAATTTGTTAATCCTATTGTTTAAATCTTCTTTCTCTTTACTGAATTCTGTTCACTTTTTCTAATATCCCACTACAACTGTGGTGGTGTAATTTCTTCTTGTCATTCTGTCAGATTTTGTTTTATTTCCTTTGAGGCCTTATTATGAAATATCTAATTTAAAATTGTTATATTTTTGATGAATTTTACCTTTTGTCAACATGAACTGTAATGCTTATTTTTTATTTGCCTTAAAGTCAATTTTGTATAATACTGGTATAGCTATGCTAGGTTTCTTTTGCTTAGCATGTATGTGTGTATATGTGTGTGTGTATGGCATGAGTTTTTCCATCCTTTTACTTTCATTGTTTTTTCTCATGTTTTAAATGTGTCTTTTATAAACAGCATATGGTTAGAGTTTGTCTTATATTTGTAAAATCTGGTCTATTCATCTTTGTCTTTTCACTAGAGTTTTAAAACCCATTTACATTTAGTATAATTAAATTAATGTACTTAACATTTTAATTTTACTTCATGTTTTCCCACCCCTATTATGTATTTCTTTTTGTCTCATTTATTATCTTCTTTTGGATCATTTTTTTCTCATTGTATTTTTTCCTCATTCCACTTTTTTCTCTACTAGGTTGGAAGTCATACATTCTGTTTCTATTCTTTTTGTGATTGTATTACAAATAAGAATATGCTTTCTTAAATTACAATCTAATATTAATCATTACCTTTACTTTCACATTGGTTAATAGAAGGATCTTAAAACAGGTTGACTTCATTTACCTTTCTTTCTACTTAAATGCAATCTTTAGTTTTATGTATCATTAAACCTCACAAGACATCATCATTATTATTTTTTTATGGCTATATAGAATCAATTATTTAGATTTGCCCATGTGTTCACCACTTTATTTGCTCTTGATTCTTTCTCAAATTTGTGACTTCTATGACATGTTTTTCTACTCTGTGAAATACATCCTTTAGAATTTTCTATTCTGTGGTGATGAACTCTCTGTTTCTTTGAAAAATGTCTTTATTTGACCTTCATTAGGATTCCTTTTTTAAGAAGTAGCGTCTGAGTTTCCTCTTTTGTTTCAGCCTGCTGAGGACATTGTTCCCATTGTCTTCTTATTTCCATTGCTACTTTTGAGAAGCCAGCTGTGGCGAACTGTTACTTCTTTGAAAATAACTTGTCTTTTTTTCTGTCGTTTCTTTGATTGTCTCCTTAAAATTGGCTTTCTGTGGTTTCAATTGTTGAGACTAATTTTGAATTTCTTTATGTTTATTCTGCTTGGTAGCTTTTTTGGACTTCTTAAATTTATGATTCAGCATCTTCAGTTCTATGAAATTCTCAGCTGTTATGTGTCCAAATATGTCCTCTTCTCCATTCTGTCTCTCCTCTTTCATATTCCAGTTAAACTTACGTTAGTCCTTTTTATTGTATCGTCTTTGTCTCTACTCTTCTGTGTATTCCATCTTTTTGTTAACCTGTGCTTCATGCTGGAACTTTTCTTTTGATCTATCTTTCAGTCTACTAATTCTCTCCTTAACTATACCTGATATTACATTACACCAACCTACTGAGTTCTTAATTTGGTTATTGGGTAAATTTTTTTCAGTTTTCTAATGCATAGTCTCTGCATTCTATGCATAGTCTCTGATATGCATAGTCTCTGATAATTTCAATACCTCAAGTCTTAATGTACCTTTTTCTGTTATCTGTTTTGTCAGTTCTCACTCATGATGTATTGCTTCTTTGTGTGCCTAGTTCGTGACTGTGTACTGGACTTTGTATTTGCAGTATTACTTGTATGTATAATAAGAGTCCTGGGGTTGTGGTTTCCTCCTTCACAGAAGATTCATTGATGGGTAATACCAAACCAGAATTATCTTTTTTTTTTTTTTTTAATGCTTTGAGAGAATGGAGAAAACAGCCCCTCAATTTTTTGTAGGGCTTAATTCTCTCATAGAAACTTGATTGAGAAAGACTGTTCTGGATACAAATCTCAGGTTGTTGTTGTTGTTGTTTTTTTGTACATTCTAACATAGTGATTTTTTTTTTAACATCTTTATTGGAGTATAATTGCTTTACAGTGGTCTGTTAGCTTGTGCTTTATAACAAAGTGAATCAGCTATACATATACATATATCCCCATATCTCCTCCCTCTTGTGTCTCCCTCCCACCCTCCCTATCCCACCCCTCTAGGTGGTCACAAAGTGCTGAGCTGATCTCCCTGTGCTATGCGGCAGCTTCCCACTAGCTATCGGTTTTACATTTGGTAGTGTATATATGTTGGTTTTATATGCAACAAATTTCTACTAATTTATGATGTGCTTTTTCTATGTATCTATTTATTTATTAATTGAATGAACAAACACACATTCTCAATTTCAGTGTAAGCAAATATGATCATCTTTTTGTGGTTTATGGTTTACGCTTTTTATGTAATATTTAAGAAATTCTGTCCTATTCCCAAGATTATAAGTATGTTCTTTTATATTTCCTTTTAACATTTAAGTTCTTTCTTTGTCTGGAATTTATTTTTTGTACAATAGTGCAAAGTAGGAGTCTACTTTTTTTCCCCTAGGGAAGTCGGTTATCTCACACCATTTATTGAATAATTCATCCTTTCACCACTGATTCATAGTGCCACCTCTGTTATATGTCACAATTTCATATATGCATAGGATTTTTTTGTGTGCTTCCTATTATTTCATTAGACTATTTGTCTATCCATATGCCAATATCAAGCTGTCTTAATGATTCTAACTATTTAGTAAATGTTGCTATGTGGTAGAGCAAATTTGTCCCCCATCCTGCCTGGTTCTTCCTCAAGAGTGCCTTGGCTATTTTTGGCCCTTTGCTTTTCCCCATTAAATTTAAAATTAGTTTGTCAACTTCCAGGAAAAACCTGGCTGGTATTTTGATTGGAATTGCATTGATCCTATAGAACAATTTGGGGGAAACCTGACGTCTTTGCATTACTGAGTCTTTTTCATGTTTGTCCAACTTTCTTCAGACTGTGTCACTGTGTTATTGGCAGTTTATGTGGGGGTATAGGAAATGTTAGTGTGTACCTGTTTGTCGAATTCGGTATAATTTTAAAATTTTGTTTTAAAAAATCAGTCATTGAGAATTTAGTCAGCATATTTTTGCATACCTGAAAGTTCTGCTGTAGAAAGTGCTTACTTTTAAAATAAAGAAGCATTTTCCTTATGAGAGAGACTGTGGATTTGGGGGTGGGAGTCAAAGCTATTTGCATCCAGGTCAGATGCAGTATAGCATAGTGAGTTTATGTACGTGAATTTATTTACTTGTGTGTGCATCCATTAAAGGCAGTAAACATAGTGGATACGAGCTTGGTTTCTGGAGCCACACGTTCTGCATTTGAATCCCAGTTCCACCATTTATTGCAAAATACTTTCACAAAATATTGATACTTAACTACTTCTTGTCTCAGTTTTCTTGTCTGTAGGATGGAGTAAGTAATAATATTTATATCTTTAGATGGTTTCAAGGGAAACCATCGTGCATGATAGACGGGAGATTAGGGTAGTAGTTGAGGTCATGGCTTTCCTTTGTAATTCCTCTCAACATCCTATCCACTGCTTTCTTATTATAATTTAGTATATTTATTAACCAAATATTAGAATGTAGTATAATGGTGAAGAGTATAAGCTTAGGCGTCTGGTTAACCTGGACTACAATTGTGGCTTTACTTTTTCTTAGAATGTGATTTAGGGCAAATTGCTTAATCTCTAGCCTTTAGTTTCCTTACCTGTAAACTAGAAATAACAATAGTTAATACCATCTCATAAAACTGTTGAGAGTTAAATAAGAAAAAGCAATTAGAATAGTGTCTACCACATTTCAAATTTTGTTATGTTTTGCCATCATCATTGTTTGCCGTCATCATTATTATTATTGTCATCCTGCATTCTTGTCTGTAAAATTGAGATGATACAACCTGCTTAGTAAAGTTGTTGGAGGACTAAGTGAAATAATATATGCAAAGAGCTCAGTATGATGACTGGAAGAGAGTAAATATTCAATAAATGGTACTGTAAACAAGTTCTTAGTTTTTGTTTGTATTTCACATACTGTATCCTAATACAAATCTAAGTTTGGGAATATTATCTTAAATTTATATGCTCTAAGTAAAAATACTTTTTACTTATATGTGGTCTAAAACTTTTTCATTTTGTCAGTGGCCCTTGATAGGAAATAGTGATTCTCTAAACCTGATAAACATTTTGTTATCACATAATACTCTTAAAATAGTCTTATATAGAGTCATTTTTTTCCTTTATTTATATCGTGTCTGATAGTCTTTGGTAGATATCTTAGTTTTTAATAATAGGACCTTTTAGTTTTTCCCTTTATGTTTTCTGTTAACGTTTATAGTCTGCTGGAAGCCCTGTCATAGATTAAAGCAATCTTCAATTGCTAGGAAAGGTTCATTAAATGTCATGACCTTAAGTTTAAGGTTCTATATGAGTTACACAAGTATTGTCTAAACCAAATGGTTGTTTTGAAATATTTGATTTTAAAGTAATTATTGTTGTATTGCTTTTAGAAGAAAACAACTGACAACTGAAAAAAAGAAATGGTCTTTGATCATTTTGTGTCTCATTCTACTGCTTTTTATTTTCAGAGTGGCAGACAACACACTACCTTTTCAGCAGAATCAAGTCGGAGTCTTTTGATCTGTCTGCTTTGGGTTCTCAAGAATGCAGATGAGACAGTTTTACAAAAGTGGTTTACAGATCTCTCAGTCCTGCAGCTAAACCGGCTATTAGATCTGCTTTATCTTTGTGTATCTTGCTTTGAGTACAAAGTAAGTGATCATTGTGCCATTGCAAAGATGAACAAGAGGGGAAACATAATGTGGAAAAGAAGAAGAAAATTTCTTCAATGTGTCTTCTTTTCTAATGTTTAAATTTTAGGGAAAGAAAGTGTTTGAAAGAATGAATAGTTTGACCTTTAAGAAATCAAAGGACATGAGAGCAAAGCTTGAGGAAGCTATTCTTGGAAGCATAGGTGCTAGGCAAGAAATGGTGCGCCGAAGCCGAGGACAGCTTGGTATGTACACAATATCTTCTCCTTCTGGTGAGAATTTTTTTCAGTTTCCTTGAACACTATTACAGTGATCATTTTTGCAGGTCTTCAGTGACAATTCTACACTTTTAAGATAGTGTTTTAAATGTAACTGTGAATTAACTTGAATAGCCATTTCTTTGCACGTTAGAATTCCTATTTAAGTAGGGTGAGCATACTTACAGTTTGCTCTGGATAATCTCAGTTTGTTTCTCTTGCCCTTGTGTGATTATTAATAGCATCTCTTATTTTTAAAAATAGATTTTTTAAGAGCAGTTTTAGGTTCATAGCAAAATTGAGCTGAAGATACAGATATTTCCCATATATCCTCTGTCCCCACACACATGCATGGCCTCCCTCGTTATCAACCTCCTCTGCCAGAGTGGTACACTTGTTACAACTGATGAACCTACACTGACGCTCATTATCATACAGAGTCTATAGTTTACATTATGGTTCTCTTCGTCATCCATTCTATGTAGCATCACTTTTTACTCTTAAAAGTTTCCTAGTTTTGCAATGATTTAATATACCCTGTATATAAGGCAAAGATATTGCCCATTAAACTCAAATATCAGCAAGAGAAGACAATTTAGTAGCATTTGAAACCTGTTTCTAATCCCTGGTCTGCTACCCAATAGCCGTATAACTTTGGCCAAGTCACTTAATCTCCCCACTTTCCCTTTCCTCATCCACTTGTGATTGTTTTGAGATTTTAAAAGGTAGTGTTGATCTTATCATCTTTGTAGTGACCATGTGTGTGTAAACATTTCGCAAATTCTAAAGTAATATTGTTGCTGAGAGCTCCTTAAGGTCAGGGACATGGCTTAGTCATCTGTGTACATGACATTTGCTAACAGCTCGATATATATTTGTTGACTTAAAATGTGAATGTACATTTACATGAATATTTTTTAATTATTGTTTTTGATAGGCCATTTAACTTAATGATTGTTTTTTTAAGTAAACTTAAATATCTTTTATATGCTATGTGTGTTTGGAATTTAATAATGAATAAGACAAAGTCTTTGCCTTTGGAATTAATAGAGCACTGTTTGTTCACTTCAGTTATATACAGTTTACAATGTACCTATTGATTTTCTTTTAACTCTTTTAGTATGTACAACAACCCTCTATAAAGTATGGAAATTAACTTTCTAGGTCATTTAATTATTACCAAAGCCTAATGAATAATTATCCTCATCTTTAAGATAAAATAAAACTCACAGAGGTAAATAACTTGCCTAAGATTATAAACTGATAGAACCAAGATCTTTTGACTGCCAATTTAGCGTTCTTTATATTATACAGTAGCTCTTTCTGAGGCTTACTGTTGGAGAGTGGAGCTGTTACGGATATGTTTGTTACATTTTTAAACTTGTGGCTTTTAGACAGCTACCACTGTTTAAATGTAAGAAACGAAGTTCTATATGTGGAATCTTAAAAAAAAAAAAAACCACCCCCACCCCCCAAACTCATAGATACGGAGAACAGATAGGTGTTTGCTAGAGGTGGTGGGTAGGGATGGACAAAATGGGTGTAGGGGATCAAAAGGTACAAACTCACTGTAATAAAATACGTAAGTACCAGGGATGTAACTTATAGCACCGTGACTCTAGTTAACAAATGTATACTTGAAAGTTGCAAAGTGAGTACATCTTAAAAGTTCTTTTTTTTTTTTTTTAAATATTTATTTATTTATCTTTGGCTGCATTGGGTCTTCGTTACTATGTGCGGGCTTTCTCCATTTGCGGCGAGCAGGGGCTACTCTTCGTTGCGGTGGCTTCTCTTGTTGCGGAGCATGGGCTCTAGGCGCACGGGCTTCAGTAGTTGTGGCATGTGGGCTCAGTAGCTGCGGCTCGTGGGCTCTAGAGCACAGGCTCAGTAGTTGCGGCACACAGGCTTAGTTGCTCCGCAGCATGTGGGATCTTCCCGGACCAGGGATCAAACCCGTGTCCCCTGCATTGGCAGGTGGATTCTTAACCACTGCACCACCAGGGAAGCCCAAAAGTTCTTATCATAAGAGAAAAATATTTGAAGCTATGTGTGGTGATGGTTGTTAACTAGACTTGTTGTGATGATCATTTTGTAGTATGTGCATATATCGCATCATTATGTTATTCACCAGAAACTAATATAATGTTATATGTCAATTTTATCTCAATTTAAAAAAAAGAAGTTCTTGTCTTTGAAAAATTAAACCTTTGCAATTCTTATATATTTGAATACTTAATAAGCTAGGTCATCTAATGATAGACATTCTTAACTAAGGAGATGAGAGACAATTTCATGGAAAAAAAAGTTAATGATAAAAATGAAAAGAGTTCACACTTATTTTGTTAACTGTCTTAATATAGACATATCTTTTTGCTTTCTTTCACAAAATTTCTTAAAGACAGAGGTTTCAAAATCAAAGAGGTAAAGAGAGAAAGAAAGGGAACGGAAGGGAGAGAAAGCAGAAGGAGTATCCAGACATGTCCTCTATTGTGTGTCAAATTATATTTGTTTCTCAGTATTTTTAAAATTTCTATTTGAACTCTGAATTTTTACTTTCATTTTTCTTTCCATTTTCCCAGCCAATTTAAAGTCTCATGGTTTTCAAAAAGGAGCATTAGTTTTCTAGTTGAAAGCTTAAAGTCATGACTTGATTCTATTGTTTATATTTCTCCACAATTCTCAATGCCTTCTCCACTTCTGCTGGATTTGTATGAATCAGTTCTATTGCTGCTGCCCCTTAAGGAGCCCGTACCATTCATTTTGCCTTCCATCCTAGAAACCGCTTGGGAGAAAGCCCCTATCTTCCTCCTGTCCTGCCTTCTGTGGACCAAAAGAAATAATTACTTTATGAACCCTTTTTTAAAAAAAATTATTTATCTATCTATTTATTTATTTATTTATGATTGCGCTCAGTCTTCGTTGCTGCGCGTGGGCTTTCTCTAGTTGTGGTGAGCAGGGCTGCTCTCTAGTTGCAGCGAGTGAGGGCTACTCTTCGTTGTGGTGCGCGGGCTTCTCATTGGGGGTCTTCTCTTGTTGCAGAGTACGGGCTCTAGGTGCGTGGGCTTCAGTAGTTGTGACTCGCAGGCTCTAGAGCACAGGCTCAGTAGTTGTGGCGCACGGACTTAGTTGCTCCGCGGCATGTGGGATCTTCCCGGACCAGGGCTCGAATCCGTGTCCCCTGCATTGGTAGGCGGATTCTTAACCACTGTGCCACCAGTAAAGCCCCTCAATCCTTCTTAATTTGTTTATTTATTAAACAAAAAGTTATTGAGTTCTCAGGATGTGCCAGATACTTTGTCAGTACCTGACATAAAGGGGTGAACAAAATGGACATAATCTCTGTTCTTAAGTAGCTTATATTTTTGTGGTCATAGGTGCTATGGAGAGAAAGAAAGTAAATTAAGAGGAAAGGAAGTGGTAGAGAGTTGAGGAAGGCCTTTCTGCAGAGGTGATAAATAATTGGCCAGTGAAAATTTGTGGGAAAAGCAATCAGGTAAATGGAAAAACCACCATTGCGCACATCCTAAATCAGTAGCATATGTAGTGAAACTACACGCACACACACACACAATAATGGTAGTGTAAACAAGAGTAGGAGGAAATAAGATCATATCATGCATGGTCTTATAAACCATGGTTAGGATTTTGGGAGTCAGTATTAGAAAGTTTGCTTATTTAAAAGCTTGTTTGGTTTTTTTATATTACATTTAGCAAATATATTTCTTCTGCAACTGTTGTGAAAATTTTTAATAAAAAGCAGCATTGTCTGGTTTTTCCACTTGTACTGAGGATAAGGTGGCTGTGTATAAAATTAATAACATTATGTAGGATTTCTTATATGTTTGCAAATATACATGTATGTGGTCTGACTGAAATAACATTAAAAAAATGTTTTGAAATTTGTTTGACAGAGAGAAGCCCATCTGGAAGTGCCTTTGGGAGTCAAGAAAATCTGAGGTGGAGGAAGGATATGACTCACTGGCGTCAAAACACTGAGAAGCTTGACAAGTAATATAACCTTCTGTTTTATCTTACTGATGGGTTTGTTGAGTTTCAAATACAGAGGAAAATGATTACTTTCAGTGTTATTTTTTATATATTAGGCATTCAAATCTTAGAAGACAAAATAGTTATATTTTATTTTTAAATTTTAGATTAAAAATGATTTGAGGGAAGAAATTTTCATATGCTATAGTAAAACAAAAGGTTACATATTCACATGTTACTCTATTTTCCCCCAACAATCCCCTTTGGAAAATGCATTCGGCTACTATTTTTTAAATATATTTTGGGTGTCACACTGAACTAAATATTTCAAGGATTACAAAAAATTAGAAAACTAATCTTTGCCCTGTTAAAGCTTAAAATATAAAGAAAGACAAAACACTACAAGTCTTCTGTTTCTAGCATGGAGGCAAACTAGGTACAGTAACTGACCACCCTACCGCCAAAAACAATCCTAAAGGACTGCATCTTCAGCCTAAGGGGAACTGGAAGTAAACCTTTCTCACTGCCCAGGTAACCACAGGTAAAGTTGCTCGGCTTGACACTTGGCATTTCAGGTGTCATGGGGCTAACATTTTTTCCTGATAATTTGTAATTACAAGTTAGCCCTCAAGTAACTTGATTGGCCCCCACCACTTTGAGCATATGGTGACCAACTCATTTGGGTTTGCCTAGTACTCCTCATTTTAGTAGTGAATGTTCCACATCCCAGGGAACCTCCCAGCCCTGTCCTAAAGTGAACCTGGATGGTTGGCCACCCTATCTGAGAACCATCTTCAGCCCAAGCTTTAGAGGATTCTCACAGTTGAATTTCAAGAAATATTAGCTCTCAGACAGTAAAATCAGGAAGCAAGTCCCTGTGAGAGCCAGCAGAGAGAGAAGCAGCAGGGTCAGTACCATATAGATGAGTTTGGCATTGTCAGAAACTGCCTTAGTCTCTACAGGCTGCTATGACAAAATACCACATGCTGTGTCACTTTTAAACAACAGAAATTTATTCCTTACAGTTCTGGAAGCTGGGAAGTTCGAGATCATGGCGCCAGCAGATTTGGTGTCTGGTGAAGGCCCTCTTCTGGGTTAGAGACTTCTTGTTGTGTCCCCTTATGGTTTAAGGGCAAGCAAACTCCCTGGGGCATCTTTTATAGAAGCACTAATCCCATTCTCGAGGGCTCTGCCCTGATTATCCAATCACCTTCCAAAAACTGCACCTCCTAACACCATTACGTTGGGCATTAGGTTTTCAATGTATGAATTTGGCAGGGAATGCAGATACTGAATATAACTGTGTTAAAAATTCTTAAAGTTTGAGTTTCTGCATTTCTGTCCTCTCTGTCCATGTTCGTTTCTTTTATTATTTTTCCACGTGTTGTGTTTTTTAGGAATCAAAAATCACCAAGATACTATGCTATTAGTATGTTGCTTTATTTCTGCATTTGTATAATGTGTTCTCTTTGCTTATCTTACTGTGTTTTAAGGGAGCCCTTTTTTTTTTTTGGTGTTTTCGTGATTCTTTTTGTTTAACCATCTTGTTTTGTCATTTTTTTCACAAAATCTTGCTGGAATTTTAAGTCTGAACATTATATATTTTGTTGTCCAATTTAATTCTAACTGTGTTGTATTTTCTCCTTAAATTTAATTTGTAAATGTAAATTCATGGACTGTTCTCTTTAGTGACAGTAATAAAGATTCAGACTTTAACATCTAAGAACTTTGAAAAGTTAGCATTTAATATATCCTTTTATTTTTGCTTTGATTTATGTGTTTTTTGTCTACTTGGATGTAATATATAGTTTCTGTATATGTATTGCAACTAAAACAAATGTCTTTACTCATAAATCATATATAGTTATTAAGTTTTTTATTTTCATTAAATAATACTTTTGTAAATATTAGTATTCAAGTAAACCACTTCATTACATCAAGTTGTTTTATTTCTAATGAGTGATTCCATCCAGAGTCTCACTGAAGAGTTAAATCATTTTCTGTATTAAAATTTTTGTATCAAAAATTTGGGGAAATTAGACAAAACTTTATTTTTAAAAAGATCTTTTATCTTAAATAAATATGTTGAAAATCCTTGAAATAGTAGTATGAATACTAAACATTTTGAATGTTCCTTTACATGAAAGCAGCCCTAAATACAAGCTCACATAGCACCACCTAGTGTCTACGTACCATTCAGAGTAAAAGTTTTTTCCTGTGTTTGCTGCATCTCTGAAAACTAAATATTTATGCCTTTAGTGGCACTGTAGCACTGTAATGGGGTGAGAAAGTCTGTATTGGCATGGTTGAAAAAATGTAGGTTAAAACAAAACATTTTAAAATATGCAAAATACTGTCTTTTTCCTTATTCTCTTGTGACTTCGCATTCAGGCAAATATTGAAAAATGGTTCCCCTGAAAAAGCAAAAGGGTTCCAAGGTTTTTTATTTCTGTGCATCTTTAAGTCTTTTTTGAATTGCAGATCTATTGGCTTTTCTAAAAGATAAATATAATTTCTTATAATATTTTGTATTAGGTCAAGAGCAGAGATTGAACATGAAGCACTGATTGATGGAAATCTGGCTACTGAAGCAAATCTAATCATTTTGGATACATTAGAGATTGTTGTCCAGGTAAGAACACAAATTAGAGGAATTTAAAGTAGTATAGATTTGATAAGTTAGAGTTGGGGGAAAAAGTATTTATTGAACCATATAGTTACATTTAAATATCAGTAGATCCTAGAAGTTATGTCCTTGCTCCTCTTCTTTTCTCATTTAAAACCTATTCATTCTCCTCCACCTCTTTTTTTTTATCCAAATCCGTCTCAGCTTCTTTTCCTTGAGGTCTTCCTAGATCTTACATTATCTTTTCCTATTAAAATTTTTATTTGTTACTTATACATATTCTATCTCTCTAACCAAATTGCAGTTAACATCTCTATTTTATTTATCTATTTTTAAATTGCAGACAGTTTCTGTAACAGAATCCAAAGAGAGCATCCTTGGTGGGGTGCTGAAAGTGCTACTACATAGCATGGCCTGTAATCAAAGTGCAGTTTATCTACAACACTGTTTTGCTACCCAGAGAGCCCTGGTTTCAAAGGTGGGTTATTTTTGTACCTGCTCTCCTGTCAGACTTTGCTTTCTTTATTAACATTGTCTAAGATCATTTGACACATACATTGATCATATTTTAAATATACTTGTAGTTAAAATTTTAGTAATAACCTAAGACTCATGATTCTTCTTTGCCTTTTCTCTACTGCTTACCTTTTGGAATTTCTAAGAGTAGTTCTGATGTGGAGAAGGGCCTGAAATTACTAGCTTATTTTATTTTATTTTATTTATTTTTTAAAATAAATTTATTTATTTATTTTTGGCTGCATTGGATCTTCGCTGTTGCATGCGGGCTTTCTCTAGTATGGCGAGGGGGGGCTACTCTTCATTGTGGTGCGTGGGCTTCTCACTGTGGTGGCTTCTTTTGTTGCGGAGCACGGGCTCTAGGCGCGTGGGCTTCAGTAGTTGTGGCGCACAGCCTCAGTAGTTGTGGCGTGCGGACTCAGTAGTTGTGGCACATGGGCTTAGTTGCTCCGCAGCATGTGGGGTCTTCCTGGACCAGGGCTCGAACCCGTATCCCCTGCATTGGCAGGCGGATTCTCAACAACTGCACCACCAGAGAAGCCCAATAGCTTGTTTTAAATATGGGGCTTTATGTGTTTTCTCTTCATCTTATTTTGGCTGTCCCTTATTGACTTGATTTATCAAGAATTCAATGTATAAGTTGTTCAGTCTGTTGAAATTAGCTTATCCTATGGTAAATGGAAGGGAAGGTGCTTTTGCTGTTTGTTCAACTACTTCAAATATTTATTTCCTGTGTTTGTTTTCCTCTGGAAATGTGTATGTGTATGCTTAATACTTGAAAGTAGCTATTTCATCTTAGTCATCTTATAAGATGGAATGCAGAGCTGTTGATGAAACTTAGCCAGTGAAAATAACTTATATACTATTTTGTGATAATAAAAACATTTCACAGAATTATTATGTTAGTTACTATAGTAGTAAGTGTTTAATGCACATTATCTAATGTAAGGTAGTCATACAGTCCCACATAGATAACATTATTAGGCCCATTTTAAGGATGAGAAAATATATCCAAGGCCATATTACTAGTGTAATCCATACTCGAACCCAGTCCATCTGGCTCTGTGGGCCATGTTATTAACCATTAGTAAATATTGTCCCTTAACATTCTTTTTTTGCGGTATGTGGGCCTCTCACTGTTGTGGCCTCTCCCATTGCGGAGCACAGGCTCCAGACATGCAGGCTCAACAGCCATGGCTCACAGGTCCAGCCACTCCGCGGCATGTGGGATCTTCCCGGACTGGGGCACGAACCCGTGTCCCCGTTTCGGCAGGTGGACTCTCAACCACTGCGCCACCAGGGAAGCCCCCTTAACATTCTTTTAATTCCTGGGCTACACCAACAAATCTCCACATCAAGCTATATTGACATATCTCTGGAACTTTTACTGCATAAATTCAGTGTTGATGTTGTTTCTTTACAGTTCCCTGAACTCTTGTTTGAAGAGGAGACAGAGCAGTGTGCTGATTTATGCCTCCGGCTTCTCCGGCACTGTAGCAGTAGCATCGGTACAATACGGTCACATGCTAGTGCCTCCCTTTACCTACTTATGAGACAGAACTTTGAGATTGGGAATGTAAGTGGTTCATCTCAGGATTGTATCTTTGATTCATTAGGAAATATAACTTCTGTAGATAACTATTAAATGGGTTCGGGGGGAGCATGGAATTTTTTTGGTGTGTTTTGAGTCTAATATTTGTCTTTCTATTTCTCATTCTGTGACATATTATAAAAGTCCAAATCTTCAGTTTTACTTCCTATACTAAAAATAATGTGTAGTAGTACAGATTTAGAATATAAATGTTGAGCTATTGTAAATTTTAATTATTATCATTAAGTGAAATGAAAGTCATAAGGAAAATTAAAAGTTAAATATCTTGGCTTGATATTTTATGATTATATGCCAGTCTTTGAAGAATTCCATGTTTTCATTTATGTTTTTTTATTTGATAATAGATTTGTGTTGTATTTTTCCTAACTTTATGAGTCAAATGTTTAGTTCATTTATTCTTACTCATGTAAGTATTTAAGGTCTACAATATTCCATTGTGCACTGTTTTTGGTGTCTTATTGGTTCTGATATGTAGTATTCTCAGTATTCTTGGTTTGTAGATATTTGTAATTTCAGTTTATATTTTCTTTTTAACCCAAAGTTTTAAAGTTTTGATGATAATTTTTAGTTGTTTCTTTTTTTCTGGCTGTGCTGCAGCTTGCAGGATCTTAGTTCCCCAACGAGGGATTGAACCTGGGCCCTCAGCAGTGAAAGTGTGGAGTCCTAACCACTGGACCGCCAGGGAATTCCTGATAATTTTTAGTTTTATTGCAAAGTGATCATACAATTAATATACTATGTCTCCTTTTTGGTAGTATGGATGTGTGTGTTTGTGTGTCCAATCATATAATGTTTTTATCAATGTTATGCAAGCATTTAAAAAGAAGGGGTACTCTTTATTTTCAGAATATTGAGTTAAACAGATATACCTTTTAATTACATTATTCTGTTTTTCTTTATTTTTGGTCCATTTGGTGGACTGAAGGAGATGATTTAAAGCCTATACACTGTCTCTCCTTTAGGTCTTTTTTGGTAAATTGATATTCATAACTATTTGGTATATTTGTAACTACTATTCATAGCTATTATATCTTACTATGAATTATTCCCTTTAGAATTGAAAAAGACCCTGAATTGGTTTCATTTAAAATTTTTATATTTTTGGCCTGAATTCTGCCTTGTATGGTATTAAGATACCTCTGCTTTCTTTCTAATTTGAACGTGTCTTCGGTTACCTTTGCCTATCCTTTCATTTTCACTTTTTTGAATCACTTTATTTTAAACATGCCTCTCATATACAACATAGAGTTGGATTTTGCCTTGTAATCCAGTCTCTAAGTTGAATTAAACCTTTTCATACTTGTTATTCTATCAGATGCGTCCTAGAGTTGTGTTGTATTATTTTGTTATGCTTCCCCACCTCTCTCCTTAAAAAAATTTGTTGGTTGTTTTCATCTTGCACTTATGGTCTGTTCACCTTATTTCTTTGGTGTAGTCTTTATTATATTTAAGAAAGTTTGTATTGTTCTAATGATTACTTTTATAATTATATAATACCTTCAGCCCTCTATTTCTTTAATCATGCATTCTCAGTGGAGGAAGTATTGCCACCAAGCTAGTGAATATTGGTTCTTGGGCGGGGTGAAAGAAAATCTTAGCTATCACAGTGGCTTTCCTTGAGTTCTTTTATTTCTGCCATTTTTTTTTTCCTTTCTAAAGTGAATGGCTTCATAAATTTTTTATAATTTAAGGTAAAATATTTTATTAGAATTTTCATCTGTTTCATGACCATATTTTCCTATTAAGTGTTTCTTACCTGGTGTTTCACTGATCTTCTTTACCTTTTTGTTACTCTACATAGAATGAGATAGTTTATATTGGCCCAGGTATTTATAGGACATTCCTTCAGGAATGTGTCTGTCATGGGATTTTGCTGTTGTATACACATCTTACCTAACTTCCTAAAGTTTCTGGTCAATCTATTTCTAACCAGTCCCTCCAGATTTTTCGGTCATTTTGTTTCCAAGGCAGATAGTTTTTAATCACTTCAAAGTGAGTTTCTTATTTAAAAGAAGTATTTTTCCCATTATTTCTTAAATCTGCACCTTAGGATTCCTCACTTTTTACTATCCCCTCCGTGCCTTCCATTGAATCTGCTTCCTATTTAGCTTGTCGTGGCAACCCTTATGCATTTTTCTAATATATGGATTATGTATGTCTCCTCATTTTGCTGAAATAGAGTTTATGGATTTTTTTCTGTTCATCTTTTATTTATTTATTTATTTATTTTGCGGTATGCGGGCCTCTCACTGTTGCGGCCTCTCCCGTTGTGGAGCACAGGCTCCGGACGCGCAGGCTCAGCGGCCATGGCTCATGGGCCTAGCGGCTCTGCGGCAAGCGGGATCTTCCCGGACCGGGGCACGAACCCTTGTCCCCTGCATCGGCAGGCGGACTGTCAACCACTGCACCACCAGGGAAGCCCCCCATCTTTTATTTTTATATGAAATCCAGGAGAAGTAGGAACTTGCTGTCTCTCACTATCCTATTTTCACTGGAAGCCAAGTCCTCTTTCCTAATTCAGAACAGAAGAATCTAGTTACTTTATGGATCTTGTTTAGTTTTTGAAATAAAGTCCCTAAAATTTGACTACACTTGGAGTTTTCTTGTTTCAGTCTTCTTTTATTTTAGGAAAACTTTATATAATAGGATGAAAATAGGTGATTTATCATCTTAGTGTGAGGTAGTGCCTCTAAAAAGGAATAGGTAGTTTTTTAACTGGCAGTGATTTTATATAGTTTATAGAATCAAGAAATACTAGTAGAACTAAGTATTAAATTGTGTTCTAGGTACTGTGGTAGGCATTGGGCAAACATAGATAAAAGGACAGTCCTTATTTTCAAATAGCTTAACATCTACTAGGGTAGGAGATGAACAGGTAATGTTCAGCTAATAATTGTAATAGTAAGTACTTACTTCACATGGTTTTGTGAGGATTATATAAATTAAGTAAAACACTTATGTCAGTAACTGGCTCTGAGCAAATGCTCAATAAGTGTTTGCTATTAATATAATGAGAGGTAAGCACAGGGGACTGTGTAAGCACAGAGAAAAAGAGCTTATGCTCTCAAAAAAAAAATGATGGAAAAAAAAAAGAAGAGCTTATGCTCTCAAAGATCGGTTTTCAGAAAGAGGAGATGCTTGAACTAAAGATGAAGAATTGCCCAATCGGATAGGTAAGTAGGTGGGTAGAACTTTGTAGGTAAAGAAAATGGCACATAGATAATTAGAAAGGCATTGAGATGAGAGTAGAAAACAGGCAGAGAAGGAAACTTTTTTAGCACTTCTTAATTGTTATGGCTCAAAGGGAGAGTAATAAGAGATAAAATTATAATTGAAATGTCTGTACTAAGCTGTCATAGGGCAGACACTGTTTCTCACTATACTCTCAGTTCCCACCATATAGTTTGACATATTTACTTGGTCAAATATTCGAATTTTATCTTCAAAGGTGTGAAAAGCCATTGGAGTATTTTAAGAAGACTGACATGTTCAGATTTACATTTTACAAAAATTTATCTGATGCTACTTATAGCATCAGGGAGAGAGAAAAAGGGGTGAGAAAAAGGCCAAAAGATTAAGAAGTTATTACAGTAATGGTAAGGGCATAAACTAAAGAAATGGCATTGGGAATGGAGAAAGAACAGATTGGAACAGATTAGAGGATAGTGTGGATTGGATTTATGGTATGAATAATGAGAGGGGAGAATGACAATGGAATGACTCCTAGATTTTTGGCCTGAGTGACTGATTACAAGAATAGTAGCACCATTTATTTAATCAATAGGAAAAGAAGGTGTTTTTTGTTTGTTTGTTTCTTTGTGTTTTTGGCTGTGTTGGGTCTTCGTTGATGCGCACGGGCTTTCTCTAGTCGCAGTGAGCAGGGGCTACTCTTCATTGCAATGCACGGGCTTCTCACTGCGGTGGCTTCTCTTGTTGTGGAGCATGGGCTCTAGGTGCACAGGCTACAGTAGTTGCAGCACGCGGGCTCAGCAGTTGTGGCACGTGGGCTCAGTAGTTGTGGCGCACAGGCTTAGTTGCTCCGCGGCATGTGGGATCTTCCCATATCAGGGATCGAACCCATGTCCCCTGCATTGGCAGGTGTATTCTTAACCACTGCGCCAACAGGGAAGTCCCAAGAAGGTATTTTAGAAGTGTTAAAAAACTGAGGTACCCATGCGACATTCATAAGGAACCATCTAGGAAAATATAACAGCTTGGAGCTCAAGAGAGAAATATGAACTGAAGACATAGACATGTATCTGTACTGGTCCAAGGCAGAAAAATGGATGAGGCTGTTTAGAGTATGAGAAGTGAAAAGGTTTCTTGACAGAATCTTTGGGAACACTGATATTTAAGAAGGGCAACTGAGGAATAAAGGAGACAGAAAAAGAGTGGATAAAGAATAGAAAAATCAGGATAAGGTGGTACCACTGAAGATAAGGCAGGCAATTTTCAAGGCAAAAGTAATCAATACATTTAAATATACAGAGATGTCAAGTAGAATATTGACAAAAAAGTATCTTGGATTTGGCAATTACTAGGTTGTCACTGATTGATAAACTATTAAGAGTAGTTTCACAGTGGGGAATGGTGCAACAGAAATGAATTTTCACTAGAAAAGGAAGAGTGTAAGCTCTTATAGGCATCACTCCAAAGATTCTACCTTTAAGTTTCTTTATACAGGATGTGAGTTATTTTTTCATAGCAGTGGACCTAATGAAAGGGGCTAGAATGCAAAGACCGCATCTAACACTTAAGAATTTTGTGATGCTGGTCAAGTTCTTTAACCCATCTGTAACAATGGTATTATTATTAATAACATATACCTCATAGTAGATCAATGTAAAGTCTAGGCACAACTTCTAATTCAAGTCTAACACACAATTTTTATTTTTTACTCTGTTTTGTAGGCTATTATTACAGCAAGATTCTAAGCTTTATGTCCTTTTAAAAATAAGATTTCAGGGCTTCCCTGGTGGCACAGTGGTTGAGAGTCCGCCTGCCAATGCAGGGGACACGGGTTCGTGCCCCGGTCTGGGAAGATCCCGCATGTCACGGAGTAGCTAGGTCCATGAGCCATGGCCGCTGAGCCTGCGCGTCCAGAGCCTGTGCTTCGCAGCAGGAGAGGCCACAACAGTGAGGGGCCCACGTACCGCAAAAAAAAAAATAATAATAAGATTTCAATATAAACATTTCATTACTTTTTCAAAAATATTTTGCATAGAATGGTATTTTTTTTTACTAACCTTTTCCTTTTAGGAAGTAAAAAAAATATACTTTTTCACTTTAAGCTTTCCTGTATTAAATGTTTACCTGGCAATTTCTCTGTTACAGAACTTTGCCAGGGTTAAAATGCAGGTAACCATGTCACTGTCTTCCTTGGTGGGCACATCTCAGAATTTTAATGAAGAATTCTTAAGACGTTCTCTAAAGACTATACTGACATATGCTGAAGAAGACTTGGAATTGAGGGAGACAACATTTCCTGATCAGGTCAGAAATGCTACTTTTTAGAGCATTAACTGAAATAGGAATTGTAAATAGGCATTTTCCAAATTGTTAGATCAAACTTTGGTTTTAACTGGAGGAACCTATATTTTTCTTTCATCCATATGTGTCAGATAGAGCTGAATCTCTTTGTTTTAATAAGCCACCCTCCCTTCTCAGAATGGTTAATATCTTTGGTGTTTAATTCTGTGAATTTGTACCAAAATAATATTAGACTTAGGCAGTATGGACAAAAAAAAGCTTTATGATGAAACTATTCCCACTGATTAATGTAATTTGCCTCAAAAACTAAAGTTTCTACAAACTACCTTTTGGGAAAATCTGAAACATAGGAGAAGATTTCCTTTTGTGTTCTTTTCCTGTATTCCCTATATCCCTATATGTATTTTATTTCTACTTACATTTCTACTTGTTTCTGGGTGAGAGAACTGAAAAAACAGTCTGCTGAGCAATTTGTATAAAGTTTACCACCCTTCACTCATCTTACCCCAGCATACCCAGACTCTTTAGAACTATATCAAAATCGTATTGTTTTGAAATCTTTAGATGCTTATCTGAAATATCTTCCAAATTAATTTAATGATTGTGAATGAATGGATGTTTTTCATACAATTCTCTGCTACAGGTCCAAGATTTGGTTTTCAACCTCCATATGATCCTCTCTGATACTGTTAAAATGAAGGAACACCAGGAGGATCCTGAAATGTTGATTGATCTAATGTACAGGTAACATTTGTTTGATTTGCTTATACCTTGTATAATGGGGCTTAAATTAGTACGATACACAGAAAACATGAGATTAAAAAAATACAAAACATATTTGTCGTTTTCTAACGGTAATCGAAAAGTCAAAATGTGCTTTATCAGATCCCCTGTGTCACTTCTTCTTTTAAGAACTATGAATAATTGTTCGGTATATTTATTGATTATCAAAAACAAGAGGATTATTTAAAGTAATGACACATTTAACACCTTGGCATCCTGGGCCCTAGATTTCCTAGGAAGGCCCAAGATCCATATTTTAAATGTAAAAGTTCTTTAGGAAGAAAATACAGTGTATTAACATTTTACTACAATATTAATTTTGCTGATTTTAAATATGGTTTTGCCTATAGGATAATATTTATAGGGTATTTTGAGAATTTTGTAATTCCTGTTGTACCTTAAAAGATGTAAGTAAAAGTTGACTTTTTCTTTGCCATATGACCTTCTCTTTTCACAGTTTTGGAGTTCCTTAAAGGCACAAATAAAACGAAAACAAATATGTTCTTTAAAATAAAAATGATACAGTGAAACAATCTTTTATAAATTTTTTTCCTTGAATAGAAAACTTGTTTATATTCCCATAATAAACATGTAAATTCCCACAGTTTTTCCCTTACTGAATGTTTCCTTAGTGTCCAGATTTTCATATAAAATGTCCTTTTTTTAGCCCCCCACTGCAAAAAACTGATATTACCATTCCATTGGCCCACAGTTGTTTCTCTAAGCATACTCAAAGACATTTTCATACCACCCAAAAACTTGTCTTAATAGGTTGTGTTCAATAACAGAAACCTAAACACTGAACAAGCAATTTGGACTCCCTTCTAGCTTGGGAAGCAAATCCTAATTGAGAAGAATTTCTGTTCTAACTAGAATTGCCAAGGGGTACCAGACCTCTCCAGACCTGCGGCTGACCTGGTTGCAGAACATGGCTGGCAAACACTCGGAACGCAGCAATCATGCTGAAGCTGCCCAGTGCCTCGTTCACTCAGCAGCACTTGTTGCTGAATATCTGAGCATGCTGGAGGACCGGAAATATCTTCCTGTGGGATGTGTAACATTTCAGGTAGGAGTCTGCCAGGTTACATTAAATCAAGGTATGTCCTTTTTTGGATTTAACTTTTCTCACTGGTGTTTAGATTCATTCAGCTTGTAAGGAAAGCATAAAGACTGAAGGTGATACTTTAGTAGATGAATTAACATTTCACTATCACTTTCATTAATACATTTTTAAAGTGTATTTCTTGTTAATCCTCTTCCACATTTTCTTACCTCTGCATTATCAGTGCTGTGTATATTTATTCTCTTTGCCTATACTGCTGTGGACTTTGTAGCATCTATGAAATATGTTCAAGATATTGAGAATCAGAATTCAGTGGAAACTCTTAATTGGCTTTTAATTAAAATACCAGGTAAACCAACATTCTCCATTCCCTGTATAAATATGCTAATATATGACTCAGAGATGATAGCTTATGCTCTAGTACGGTTACATCCCCCTTACCCACTAGTTGAATTCTTTGCTTACCAAGAGTTAGTTATGCTTTGCTTTTCTTAAAACCTGTTAAGGCCAGGTTTGGGAAGTTACAAAATTTAATTAAATATTATATTCTCTGATAAATCTAAATGCAATAAGAGTAAGTTATTGTTTCTCTGAAAACCAAGTTGAATGTTTTGCAAAGAGATCAGACAAATAAAGAATGGGGGAAAAGCTCTGAGAAGTCTAGGATAATTTGATAATCTTTTAAGTTCAAGTTTTTACTCTAAAGAAACCAAAACTGGAAATCTTAAATAAAGGTTGCATTGTGGGTATTTAGTCAAGAGAGATTACATGGAACTCTGATCTCGAGACCCATACACAAAGAAAAGACCTTAGATCTACTTCAGGAAATTGACAAATGAGCGTATATCTACTGTGAATATTTAGGTTCAAATCAAATATTTAAGGTATGTAGGTATCATTTCTTTTTTAGAAATAATGGCTGATCCCAATCTCATTGGGTAAGAGGGCTTTTAATATACCTGAGTTTTCTCATTAACTTGATGTATGTTAGGCAAGCCAAGGGACCATTTTTGTACCTTATTTTCCCTGAAAGAGAGTTTTAGCAAGATCAATTAAAATTAAAAATAAAGATTGTTTAAGTCTCCATAGGTGTTCTATGTGATATTATGATTTTCCTTAGCCCATGATTTTTCTTAATTTTCTTTCTTGCAACTTTTTATTAATGGAAAAGTTATCTAGCAGTGGTGTTACACTTTATTGTCATCTTCACAGTACAAAAAGTTTTTGGAGATTTGTCTTTTATCTTTGCATTGACTACCCTTTTTTTTTAAACTTAAGCTGGTAGCTATATTTCATCACCAATTACTTCTTCATATACACCTTTCATGTTAAGAAATTAATTCCATTTCACAAGCCTTAAACATTTTTTTCCTCCTAGAATATTTCATCTAATGTTTTAGAAGAATCTGCAGTCTCAGATGATGTGGTATCTCCAGATGAAGAAGGTATCTGCTCTGGAAAGTACTTTACTGAGTCAGGACTTGTGGGATTACTGGAACAAGCAGCTGCTTCTTTCTCTATGGTAGATGACTCTTATTCATTTCTTCCCACAATTACATACTTCTTAATTATTAGTGACATGTATATTTATGCTTTCTGCCTACAACTCTGCTTTTCCTTTATGGTAGTTCTCTCTAAGTACCTTAGAACCATCTAGTAACATATTTTCTTTCTAGATTCATCATTGCTTATTCCTTTTTATTTTAATAGTCGGTCACTTCCTCCAGTGTTTTTCATCTGCTTGTTTGTGAACCAACACTTAGTCTGTAAGAGATTTTTTTTTTCTTGCTTTACAAAACTTTACCACCAAACATTTTCTAAAACTTTAAAATTTAAAAAAACCCCAGCAAAACAGAAAGCCTGTGGTACTCAGGAAAATTATGGCCACTCATCCCATTGGTTGCATAGTGAGTTCTATTAGGTAGATATTGAAGTGGTATCAGGAGCTTTATGAACTACATCCTAGATCCCTTGTCTGACCTACCCTACCATGCTATAACTCTAATCCTTGTCCCTCCCCATCTGCATGTGAAGAATTAAAGCAGTCATGTGGATCTGAGATGGGATGTTTGTTGGAGAAGGAAAAAACAGCCAGCCAAATCCCTGCTTACTTTCTTGAACCATGGTGATATGGTCACCTGCTTTCTGTGAGTTTTCTGCTGAGTGTTTAGTATCCCAGCACCAAGGTTTGGGAGACAGTGAGGTTCATGTTAAGGTAAAAGGGAAGCTTGATGTAATATACAGTGTTTCCCACCTTCCCCATTGTACTATTATTAGGAATTGGTTATTGCTTCTCCTGGCCTTAACCCTCCCCAGAAATATATTGGTTATGGGTATAGATTTAGAAGGCATACAGTCAGAATTCAGATCCTGGCTCTGCTACCTTAGTAGTTAAATCACTTCAGGCACAAGTTACTCAACCTACCAGTGCCTCACTTTTCTTAACCATTAAATGCATCTAATAATAGTACCTACTTCAAGGAATGTTATCAGGGTTAAATGAGTTAACCTATGTAAAGTGCTTATCACAGTGCCTGGCTCCAAGTAAGTTTTAATGTGTTTGCTATTATCATCTTCTCATCATTATTGGCACTTAGAAGCAATTCATTTAATAATGATTCTGAGACTCAAAGAACGTTAGGCATTGGTCCACTTTAAAATTTCTTGTTTTTGAGGACCTTGATTGTCCTGATTCCTACCCCGGATCTCTGTTCCTTGAGTTTCAATTTAAGTGATCTGAACTAGCAGGGAAAAAAAGTTTTTTGGTATTAATGGAATATTTTAATAAATATACATTCTCTGTGTATATGTGTTTAATTTTAATAATTCACAGCAGTGAATTTAGATTGGGGTACAGTGGCCTATATTACAGAAGCCTATATTTTGCAAGAGCATATAATTGTGAATTTCATTCTTTTTCAATTAATCTATTTAATATTAAGTAAAATAATTACTGGGCATTTTAGTTACACTAAATATACTTTACTATTACAGCTACATGTTGCTTAAATATACTCCTGTGAACTGACTAGAAAATATGAGAACCATAGGTTTTCCCTGGGAAAATAATGTTTGCTGATGTGTGAGGCAGTGGGAACTCAGTGGCTCTTGGAAAATACCTCTCCTTTACTACAGCCATCAATCCATTACTAAAGGCAAGAGAGTGGGTAGCAGTGTAAACACATTTTGTCCCTTACTCTGATTATAACCAGAGCGACCCTTAGCCACCTACTGACCAACTATCCCCTACTTGAATAAAATCTGGTGGTTCAGAACCTTCTTATGTTTTGTTAAAAATCAGAGATTTTTCCATAGGAGAGTTCCAATAAGATTTCCTGTGCCAATTTAATATTTTGGAAAAGTTAATAATTTTAGTGTCCTAGGAGGCCACAGGTTATCTGATATATGCGTATCTGTGACCAATGTAATAATTGGGTTTCTTTTATTCCTCTTCTCAGAATTAGTTTCTGCAAAAGTTTATGTGCATATATGAGGACACACACATACACACATTTATTTTAGTTAAGTAATTACTGGGTAGATAAAAGCAAAATGTCCAATTCAAATTATATAGAAATATAAATATGCATATATTATGTGTGTGTATTTTAAATGCACAGACACAAACACACATGCATACATATCCATTCATCTATCTAGAAGAGATAATATTAAATTGTGCAAAATTATTTTATTAGGCCTTAATCAAATTAAAAATTAGTAGTGTTTGTTTTTATGTCCTATTGGAAAACAGTAGTATTGTCTTAGTAGAAATATTGTGAGTTCATAAATTGTAATTCACTTTCTTATTGATGTAAAAGAAAGCAATATCTTATTATTCTTATAGGCTGGCATGTATGAAGCAGTTAACGAGGTTTACAAAGTACTTATTCCTATTCATGAAGCTAATCGGGATGCAAAGAAACTATCCACGATTCATGGTAAACTTCAAGAAGCATTCAGCAAAATTGTTCATCAGGTAATGATTGTACTTTCTAGCTTCAGTATAAATGGAGAAAGCTGTCTACAAGCATTAGTGTTGCTTTGTACTAATGTCAAACTAGATGTCATGAAATGACCATTTTAATGAGGTTAAAAATGAACAGTGTCAAAATGATGGTTCATGGCCAAAAGCAAGACTCATTAACAAAACTGAATTTACCTAAAGTAGATTATGATCATCATAACCTTTCCACATAGCTTCTCTTTTTTTCTTCACTTTTTTTGAATTATTACTAGTTGCTAAATTTTTTTTAAATTGTGAGTTATTTTCTGTTTCACAGTGTGGGTTATAGTTATGAATCTGATTTTTAAGTTGATTTCTATTCATTTGCTGCCAAAAAAGTTGTTATGTTTAACTTTTTATTAAATGATGTGAAAGTTTAATAAACTCCTAATATTTTTAATGATTTCAACTGAACTTTTAACTGTTTTTCCCATATATTTTTATTCAATCATCCTTTGACATATTTCTAATATGAAAATAATGTTTAGTGAAAATAATGAATAAATGGTTGTCATGTTTATTCAGTTATAATAGTATGACTTCAGTACTTGTTTATAGTTCATGGAATCCACATATTATCACTAAAATTAAAATTAAAATAAACTTGGTTTAGAAATGAAGTAGACTACCAGCAGTTGATTTCCCTGAAGCTGAGTCACTGGCTCCATTGAAATGCTCTGAAGTATCCTGTCGAGGCTCCTCTTTCTCCACTTTTCTCTTCCCTTCCCTGTGCTACCCATGCTGTTGTCTGCTACTGCCATCATCAAAGAAGGAAGTGGAGTACTGGTTTTCCACTTTTTCGTTCGGTATTAGTCCTACTTTATTGTCTGTCAACTTGACCTCCTCTTTCTTGCCATGGACTAAGCTGTTCTGGATGAATTGATATAATCTGAAAAATTTTAAGTCTTAAATAGGGCCACTATACTGTTAAGCCAGAATTTTATTATTGTTTACTAAAATGTTGACATTGCAAAAGATCATTAGGATTCTTGATCACAACAGTTGGGTCTTTTTATAATCAGTTGTACATATACTGTTAAGGAAATCTCATCCCAGCTTCCAGAGCTATAAATTGCAAATTACACATCAGGTCTGGAACATCTAGAGCTAGTAGCTTCCAAGAAACTTTCATCTATTTGTATCAAAGACATTTGAGTGAAATTTCAATGTCTATTCCAATTTACCTGCGATACTTCAGTGAAGTGCAGCTCACATTAGTTAGTGATCTAATTTAGACACAAATGAAGCAAGTAGTTGGCTTTCTTTCCCCCAAATTTGTACTTTTCACTTATTAAAGTTTTAAAAGGTGAAATTTTAGCTTCTAGGTTTTGAACAAGGAATTTATAATATTATCACGGGTCTTAAGTGAAGGAATATGGTGTTTAAAGTACCCTGGTGTTTTCTATACGAAGAAGAATTTATGGTATATGGTGCCTTACACTACTGAACTTCCTTTGGCTTTTTTTTGTTCTTTTTAAACAGTTTTTTTTTTTTTATGACTTTGCCCTTTTTTTACTTTTTATTATACAGAGTACTGGCTGGGAGGTAGGTAATGTTTTAGTTAGTTAAAGACACTAATAGATTGATTTGATCAGATTTCTTATGCCAATGCTTTGCCCACATGTGCTAGCTGTGGGCGTTCTGTTGCTGTCTGCTGTCAACTGAATTCATTAACCAAAGAAATTTTGTTAAAATACTGTAAGTTATGTTAAGAAATTTATTATTAAGAGGTTGTAGGCAGTGCATGGAAATCCATATGTTACACTAATGAGATTCTTTGGTAAATGAGCCACTTTGTCATCACTTAGTTTGTTTTTATCCTTTGAAGCATTTTCTTTCATCAACATTTACACACAAATTTCTTTTTTTAACCATATTGTTTCACCTCATTTTACAGAGGTCGATTTATATGTTATTGCTCAGAGGTGTAAATAAAAAATATTTCATCTGATCTAAGATGCCATCAATTGTAAGACATCCCATTATTTTCCATGCCTTTAAGAAACAAAGAAAAAAAATACCCTGTGTATTAAACTACAACATCCTATCAGTTGAAAGATGAATGCCAACTACAGAGATACTAAAATATGGGCCAGAAATGTGCATCTTAGAATTGATGAAAGAATGTGTTAATTTGATCTTGAGTCACTTCACCTTGAGTATAAGCACTACTGAGGAAAGAAATTCACTTTTGTCATTTGAATTTTGTTAGAGGGAGGGATAACGAGATTGAGACAACTGGAAATTTAATTTGACCTCATATTCTGACAATGTTTGATAATTAGTGTTCGATGAAGACTATGTGTGCTTCCTTTTATGGAGTCGTTAGGCTCATGAAGTTATATATAAGTTAAATCTTACCTGAAAAGTGCCAGGAAGAATTGATTGCCTTTGTTTTAAATCCTTCTATAAAGGAAAGAATTCGATAAAATTTAAAATTCTACAAAATAATTTATTTTGATGAGGTATAAAACAAGGTATTAATAAACCAGGTTTATTTAAAGCTAAATATATCTGTAAAGTTTTCTGCTTTGCCTCTCACTTTGTAGTCAGGTTTATGTTGATTAAGCAGCTTAGGCTTTCTCCGTTTGGTTTTGCATTTCAATCCTTGTTTTGAGATCCAACTAGAAACCTTCAGAATAAATGTTACTATTGCATTCTCTTCCATTTCTGAATTAGTTGCCACCTTTCGTTTTTCTTCAGATGAAGCCAGTACAGTTGCATCTACCTTAGTTCTCCAGATTAAATGTGTGTGACCTTATTAATACCTAGTACAGAACCTCTCATTTCTGTGGCTCAATTAAGACTTATGTAAAGAGACTTTACATGGTTATCTATGAGTGATAAAGTTCCTTATGGATTTCCTAACATGAAATGGAAGTAGGTGAAAAGTAGATAAAAGAAGATACATTGAAACCTCTGAGCAGTTTATTACTAGTCTGCTTGATGCTAAATCGACCCCTGAAAGGTATAATTTTCACTGGTTATGATATTAATATTCTGTCATCATGTTTATTGCATGGTAAAAGTCGCACAGACTTTATTTTCTTGTTTATATTCTTGTCACTACCTTTCACTGGACCTTTAGCTTTGTAGCTTCTAAAATTGTTGCACGTTTGTTTTTTGCTTTTCCCTTGTAAAACTTAAATGGATGCTTGCATTTTAAAAATATGTTTGCTACCATTTGCTGCTTATTTGTTTTGAAATTTCCCTAATTAAAATGCTTCTGTTTTCTCTTCTCTCTTGCCCCTGGTTGCTGACCCTACTCCCTACTTTTACTATTGTCTATTGTGGTAAGTTCCTATCTTGTGAATATTTTTCTTTTTGACTCTGGGAAAACTTCAGTAATTTCATTTTTTCTAAAAGCTATGTTTCCTAGCTAATTTCCTAGTATTCTCAAAGAACTCTCACTGGATTGAGATCCAGTAAGGATAACTGATACACTATAGAAAGGCTCTTTGAATTGATACTCCCTCCCTGACTTAGAGGACCGCTATCTGGGCTTATATATTAGCATTGTATTTCATTTTTTACCGTGCTCCTTGATTTGGTACAAATTATTTGAGTTGGCAAAGCTTTTTAGGGCTGTGTGTGTGGGTTTGTGTGTGTGTGTAAAAGATAACTCTAAAACTTGATATTTAGCAATTTGGTAAAGTATTTACCATCCAAAATAACAAATCATGAACCCTTCTTAAATCATGGTGATCTGCCAATTCCAATATCTTAATGACTGTTTAGTATTTACCTTTATTTTCTCTTCCCAAGCCCATCTATTTTTCTTAAAATAATAGGAAATAGAGCTTCCCTGGTGGTGCAGTGGCTGAGAGTCCGCCTGCCGATGCAGGGGACGCAGGTTCGTGCCCCTGTCCGGGATAGATCCCACATGCCGCGGAGCGGCTGGGCCCGTGAGCCATGGCTGCTGAGCCTGCGCGTCCGGAGCCTGTGCTCCGCAACGGGAGAGGCCACAACAGTGAGAGGCCCGCGTACCGCAAAAAAATAATAATAATAATCATAATAATAATAATAGGAAATAAAGTATGTTTAATAATTTCTCTTATGATTGCATTTTAAAATTACTTTTAGAAAAAAGAGAAATATTGAATTTCTGTATGGAAACTTACAGCCATTTCATATTTTGTGTCTATATTTTATTTTAAAAGATACATTTATCCATTTATCAAATAGTGAACAATTTGTATTCAGAAGTAGATTAATGCAAGTTTATATTTTTCAGAACAGTCATTCCCCAACCATTGATAACATAGTCACATAATACTGTCTCCATTTTTTTTCCTTAAAAGATTACAACATATTTCACCATCCTAGGGGAAATATCACCACCTTAGTAGGCATATATTACAATCTCCAGAAAGGCTTGAGAAGGTGGGCTTAGCTTTTTTAAAATTCTCTCTACTAAGTCACTAAAGAAAAGTGGCATACCCTAATTTATGAGATTGAAGCATGCAAAATAACTGGATCATAACTCTTGTTGTTGTATTGGATGGACATGAGTATGTCCATATTCATGTCCATCCAATATTTTGGTTTTTATATGCTGAGAAATACTAGCCATAGTTCTGGTGCAGTGGCTTCTGTTGAATTTTTATAAGCCTTAATCCACGCTAAAGCTGCGTGAGATAAATTAACTCATCCAAGCCAGTAAAAGAGCAGAATGAGAAACAGCAAATTTTAATAGGTGATTGGGGAGTGGGGGGCTGAAAGAAGGGCGTGAAAAAAGTTCCAAGAGCATAGTCAAAACAAGTACTTTTACAACAAGTAGTTGAGTGGAAAAATGTGACACTCTAAAGAAGAAACTAGACCAGTGTAGGTATAAAACATCCATGACTGTTTACCTCAGGAAAGGTGAAGAGATGAAGTTAGATATGAAGAATGTTAAGGAAATTAGGGAAAGTGAGAAGAACTTCTCTGTGAGGAGGTACTTTCTGATAGTTGGTGACTCCCTAATAATTGGTATAGACCCGTGACTGAGCACCTGATGGTGCTGTACCACTGGTTAGGTTTGCCCTTTATGTTACTTTTGATGAGAAAAAGATACAGACAGCAAACATTTACTTTGTAGATGATACTGGACATGATTTGTTTTTTTCTGGACTAGAACATATAATGGTTAAAATTGAACTTTTGATAAGAAATGCAGTAGGATATATCAGAAGCACATATCTGGTAGGTAAACCACCAACCTAATTTTCATACTGCAGTTTACAGGAAGGAGATGCAAACATGCAGTAACAATTACAGTAGAGGACAGTGTTGTAATATAGAGGAAGACAAAATACAGGGAGGGAGATACCCAGTTATTCTCAAACAGTTACTCAAGGAAATTCTCAAAAGTTCTCAAGGAAAGCATCAGAGAAGCGAAAGATGGTTCAGAGATCATACTTATGTTCTGGTGTCTGTATACCAGTACATAGAATATGGGGATTAAATAGCTTAATTAAGAGCTTGGACTCAGGTGTCAGATATATTGGGATTTAACTCTCAGCTCTGCCGCTGACTAGCAGTGTGACCTTGGGCAAGTTACTTTTCCTCATCTATAAAAAGAGGGTAAAAAAAATGGTATCTCGTAGTCGTGGTAAGAATTGACATAACTCATGTAAAGTGGATAACCAGTGTCTAGCACATAGTAAGTACTTTAAAAATGTTGGAGATTATTATTTTTATTGTTGTTATATCATCATCATCATTATTATCGTTACTGTTACTTGAAATCTTAACACAATTTAGCTATGAAATCTAAGAGGTGTTATGTTCCCTGGTCGAGATCTGTGATTAAATAAACTGATAAAAGTATATGTTCTTTAAGAAGAATAAATCTAATAGAAGAGAAGGAGATTACCACTGTGTGAAATACTGGTATGCCTATCTGGCAATCAGTTAACTTGAAGGAGGTGTTACCAAGTCCAAGCTCTCTCTGCTTGCCACACAACAGGCCAGTAAATCGGGAGACGAGTTGTTGAGGCAAGGAATAGCGACTTTATTTGGAAAGCCGGCAGACGGAGAAGATGGTGGACCTGTGTCCCCAAAAACCATCTTATCAGGGTCTGGATGCCAGTTTTTTTTATAGAACAGAGATGGGGAGGAGGTGATGAAGTAAAGTGAAAAGGCCATTAGTTTTGCAAAATATCTCCTGGCTTAGCCGGCATCAGGGAGGGCATGTGTTAATTTCTTCTTTTCTGCAGCCATTCACAGGTGGGCAGGGTCAGATTGTCTCCCTGTGAACTGAACAGAGGCACTTCAGTTTAACATTCATGCAGAGGGTCAGGGTTCCTTGAGGCAGGCCATTATGTATGATTATAATAACAAGAGCAACAAAAAGCAAAGGTTAAAGTAAAAGATCCAACATGGAGTCAGAAGCATAATGGAAAGCTGTGGGTGAAGGTGAAAGAAGTTTTAGAAGTGATGTCATTGTGGAAATATACAACTAGCCCAACTGAATGTTTCCTGCTAAATAAAGATAAAACTAGAAAAGACTTAAGATAATTTGTCATAAGCAATTTCACCCACTAGAAACATGGATAGATGTGTAGATGGATTTCCTTGTCTGGGACATAGTTTCATCAAATACAAGACGGTGGACCCAGTAAGTAGAACTGCTAAGGAAGAATAAATTGGAGTGTGGGAATGATGGGAAGTTCAGAAAGAATTCATGACATTAAAGGAAGGTAATGCTAGAAAAATATAGGCTAGATTGTAGGAAAGTGTACTTTTTTTTAATTCAAAGGAAAAATGGGTATCATCCTGTGGTCCAAAACTCTGAAGAGGAAATAAGATGAAGTGATGTTTTTCTTGAAGGTACAGCTATATGATTAGTCTTTCATGAACATGATCGAGTCAATGGTTTTACACTAGAGAACTCTTTGTAAGTTGAAAATAAATTTAATCACTGTTCCCTCCCCCACATCACTACACACACATTCATTTTCAATTCCAGTAACTCCTCTCTGATCTTATCTCTGCTGATCTTCCTTTTGCACACTCTGCTTCAGCCACTCTGGCCACCTTCCTATTCTTCAAACACATGAGGTAGCCTCCTGTCCTAGGACCTTTGCACTGGCTCTTTCCTCTGCCTGGAATGCACTTCCCCCAGAAGATCCACATGAATAACTCTCACACCTCCTTCACATCTTTGCTCAGATGTCACCTTTTTGTGACACCTGCCCTGACCACTCTGTTTTGTTCACTGATTTATCACCAATGTCTAGAACAGCTTGCTGACACATAGTAGGCATTCAGTAAATATATGAATGGATGAATGGTTTCCCTCACATACATTCTGTTTAATGACTTTTTTCCCTTTCCTTCCCTCCCATATCCACTTAGCCATTCTTTTAAGTTGTAGAATCCTGCCTGTGTGTCACCTGTTTTGTGACCTGGCTCTAACAAGATTTATCTTTCCTTTCTCAATACACTTTTTATTATAGCATATAACCCTTTGTATTGTAATTATTTGAATACATTTTTTACTCTCTTGGGGAGGTCTTATTTATTTTTATTTTCCTATTCCTGAGGATGAACAGTGGCTAACTCTTTATAAGCACTCAATAATTTTTTTTCCTGAACTGAATGTCAGTATGAGAAAGTAAATAAAAAGAGTTTAAAATGGCTGCTCAGTAACGAGTTCAGTTTTAAGTTGCATTAATAAAATTTAAGTCGACATCCAGGGAGGCAGTGAGCCCACTGATCTCTACACTGATCAGATCACATCAGCAATATTGTGTTTATTTTTGGGATACCACACTTTAAAAGGTGGCATTGAAAAACTAATAAAATGAAAACAGCATAGTAATTCCTATCATATGAAGATGATTGAGAACTGGAAAGTCTAAGGGAAACAAGTTCTGATAGCAGTCTTCAAATATTTAAAAGATCATAATGAAGATTTAGAATAGGGTTTAAAATTGGAACACTCTGAGGGGAATACAGCCAGAATAACAAATTTTAATATTTGTGATTTTAATGTACATTTATGGCATTTTTGGAAAAAAACAATCACAAATTGTTAATTTTCTCAAATGCCTTTTTTATTTTCCAGGTGGTGGGGTCTTCATTTCTTGATTATATCAGAATTTGCTATTATTATATTGTTCCATTGGCTTATTGATGGTTTTAATAAAAATTTTGATTGAATACATTTCAATCAAATTCAATGAATACATTGAATCTCTAGAGAGATTTCATTTGCTATAGAAATCAGTTAATTTTTATGTCTGTTAAATTTTGAAGCGACTGAAAAATTTTTTTTTTATTAGCGACCTCAAGTTTCTTTAGCTCAAAGACATTTTTATTTAAAACTGTATTTCTTCTGGACAAAAATGTGGCGATATGGGGGCTTCCCTGGTGGCGCAGTGGTTGAGAATCCGCCTGCCGATGCAGGGGACAGGGGTTCGTGCCCCGGTCCGGGAAGATCCCACATGCCATGGAGCGGCTGGGCCTGTGAGCCATGGCCGCTGAGCCTGCGCGTCCGGAGCCTGTGTTCCGCTGCGGGAGAGGCCGCGACAGTGAGAGGCCCGCATACCGCAAAAAAAAAAAAAAAAAAATGTGGAGATATTTTTAGTCACTGTATTTTTTTTATTATTATTATAAGGCTGGAAAATTGAGGATCAGGATTTTCCATTTTGCTTCATTATCTGTTTCATTTGTAACTTATTTTACATACCCTTTTGCCTTTGCAATAAGAAGTCAGTATAGGAAAAATAAGTATCAAACTTACTAGGCTTAAAGAGAATTCAGAGGTATATAAACACTCACGTATGGCTGTGTATATAGGCGCTACCTCAAAATCCTTCTGAAACATCTTTGTATCTAAATTTTAAGAATTGCATAGAAAGCTTCCAAGTATTTTGTCTTTATTGAGGGAATTTGCTTTCAAATGTGCTGTGTAAGAGTTCAGGTGACCTTAGTGTACATTGTACTTGGGATGAATGTGTGGTTAATGTATGCAGTGGGTGGTTTGGGGACTTTAGAAAACCAACTCTTCTCAATTTTTTTTTCTTTTTATCTTTCATTTATACATTTTTTCCTTTCTATTCCATTTTTAGTTACTCTTCCACATATCAATATTTTTATCAGCAGAGGGATACTAATTGTAAATATTTTGCTTCAGTGCTTCTGGATGGTCGTGACATTTACTGACTGTCTGCTCTGTGCCAGGTGCTATACTTGGCTCCTAACTTTTACGATCTCATTTAATATATGTAAAGAGATAATATAAAGGCTAATGGAAACTAAAAATATTATTGTTGTTTTTAAATTTAACTTTAGTATGCTCTAATTTCAGGATAATTAGAATAGTTTGTTTTATACCAAGCAACTTTTCTTGCAATAAGGAAAATGAGTTAATTTATCTCAACTGTATAGAAATAAAAAAAAAATAGACCTATGTGAGGACATCACTTGGTACAGTCCCTGAAAAACATATGCCATATATGATTTGGTAAAAGCCCTAATTGCACAATGTTATTTGTTAGAAATAATGAAAAAAAGAAAGATTACTTTGTTTTACTTTCATTTGAAAAATAATAAAATACTGTAGTCTTGAATTAAAACTTTTGCAATGTGTTGAGAATTTTGTACCATAGCAATCTAAACAAAATGTGTAAAACAAAAAGACTTTGTATTAAAGTTTCTTTATTTTCCTACACCTAGGATGGTAAGCGGATGTTTGGCACCTATTTTCGTGTTGGTTTTTATGGAACCAAGTTCGGGGATTTGGATGAACAGGAATTTGTTTACAAGGAGCCTGCAATAACCAAACTTGCAGAGATATCTCACAGATTGGAGGTGAATGCTGTGGCGGTTCACAAAATGTCATCTTTAATTTGTATTTTCTGTGGTGAATAGACTTTCAGATCCAGATCTAATCATTTAATAAGCCAGATCCTGCCAAATAAACTACTCCTTTAGAATTAGGATTTTTGATAGGTACAGTAATAGTCTTTTGAATTTTTCAAATCTTTTATGGCAACAGTAAAATAATATTATTAACTTGATTTTTTGAGGGTCTATTTTCACACATATTTTAGAAATCCTATATCTTTCAGAATTACTGTGATTTGTGGAGAAATGTGTAGTATTATCCACATTTTGAAAAAGGTATAAGGTATTAATAAGCATGGAACTAGAATTAGAACCCCAAGGTATTTCTGACCCAAGTGCATTATCTTTTTGGCATAACTGATACCCAGTGAGATAATCTTTAGAACTTAAAAGCTTGAAATTATACTTTAAAAACACTTCTTAGAATCCCTTAACTTTTATGCAGCTACTTAATTTTCACAATAAATAATTAATTTTAATGTTTATGAAACTAACCAATCTTTTCTGCTATAGTTATCCTTTCCAACTTTTCTCTGTTCTTGGTTCTCCAAGTGTGGTCCATGGACAGAATCTTTACTGACATCACCTGGGAGATTGTTTGAAATGCAGAATCTCAGACCTTACCCCAGACCATCTGAATCAAAATCTGCATTTTAACAAGATCCCCAGATTATTTGTATAGACATAAGAGTTTGAGAAGTAGTGCTCTAGGCTAGTTTTTATTCTCAGCTGATGTTAATTTCTCAATGTTGTATTCTTATTGGTGATTTCACAGGGCTCAACTTCCATAAATTGGTTTAAGCTGAACTTTTTGTTTTTCAAGAGCCTATTAAGTCAGTCTTGGGAAATATTGAGACAATATTTCCCAAACTTACTCAGTCATAAAAATTATCTTAGAGGGAGGAGTGGCTGTTCTCCTTTGAGGATTGAGATTTAATTTTTCCTTTTGAATAGCTCCATCCCTTGCCCATGCTGCTACTCAGTGTCATATGGAAAAGTCAGTACATTCTTGACCCAGGGTTACCTTTTCAAAATCTGAAATTTTATAAAACTTCAACAAGTCAATGCTTTTATTTGAACATTCTGGAACATTACATTAATAATTCAGAAAAATGAATGGTTGCTCATTGACTGCAAGAAATTAGGCTACATCAAACTCAATAAAAGTTAATATCCTATACATCAAGTATAATGAATTTCTTTTGTCTCTGCTTTCTATTCCCTTTTTGTTTTTTTTTGAGGACCTCTTGTAGAATCCTGTATTTTCAGTGGTGAATTTTTTTTTTTTGTATTTTGTGTTATTTAAAATGAGTAAATGGGAATAATATCAAATAAGTATGGACTAAGGCCATGCTAATTTGATAGACTAAATTTAACTTTTGTGAATGCAAATAATTATTATTTTGTAATTATTGACATGGTTGTACAAGAACTTACTAAATGGCCTGATTTTGCTCAGGAGTCTCCCTCAGAGACCTCCTCTGTTTTCTACTACTGTTAACTTCATGTGAAAGATTTCTTTTTCTTATTTTAGGGATTTTATGGAGAAAGATTTGGAGAGGATGTGGTTGAAGTAATCAAGGATTCTAATCCTGTAGACAAGTGTAAATTAGATCCTAACAAGGTATGGTTGATTAGACTGTAATGACACATAGGTATATCTTTGAGACTGATTTTTTTTGGGAAAGACTGAATGATGATTTCACAATGAAAATGAAGAACTTTTTCCTTTCCCAGGCATATATTCAGATTACCTACGTGGAGCCATACTTTGACACATATGAGATGAAGGACAGAATCACATATTTTGACAAAAATTATAATCTTCGTCGTTTCATGTACTGTACACCCTTCACTTTAGATGGTCGTGCCCATGGGGAACTTCATGAACAATTCAAACGGAAGACCATTCTGACTACTTCTCATGCCTTTCCTTATATTAAGACAAGGGTTAATGTCACTCACAAAGAGGAGGTAGGTCTCCAAATAGGGAAATAGAATTAGTGGAGCAAATACATTGGAGCCATGTGAAAACAATGTGGATATAGCATTGTGTATCATTCCTCACGTGGTAACATACTAGAACTTTACCCATTTTTAAGTCATTAATTTTCAGCTTCTTTTCTAAGTCCCTAATTCACCCTTCGCTTATGCTTTAAAAGGTTGATTTTTTAATTTTTTATTTAGTGATCCAAATTTTGGAATTTTATTATTAGATAATAGTTTACAATTGGTCACCACTTTTTTCTTATTTTAATTGATTGTGTATAAAGCTCACTAAATATTTTTCAATCAATACACTGACCTAATAGATGTTATTTGACCCAGATCATCTTAACACCAATTGAAGTTGCTATTGAAGACATGCAGAAAAAAACGCAGGAGTTGGCATTTGCCACACATCAGGATCCAGCAGACCCCAAAATGCTTCAGATGGTACTCCAGGGATCTGTAGGCACAACAGTGAATCAGGTTGGAGCATTTGCTAATACTGTGCAATTTAAGTTATAAATGGAATTTTGAATGATTTCATTATTATATTTTACAGAGATCACAAATAAGTGTCAAAGCAAGTGAAAATATGTTAGAAGTAGTTGCAAAAGTTAAACTGAAAAACAAAATTTTTAGTATAATCTGTTATTAAAAAATTTTCACACCTGCCTTTTATACTGCCTGTTTTTCTAACTATCTGTTCTGAAACATTCTATTAAGGAGGGATAGATTTCACTCAAAATGGCCTTTCCTTTAAAAGCTTGTACTGAAAGAATGTGATCTAAAAAGAAGGGCTCATTTTCAGAGCTACATGTTACACGCATGTGTGTGTACCTACTCTCTCAGATACTCCCTGATGTTATCTTCTCCAGGTCTCCTTCACAGTGAGCTGAGGACAGTAAATAAGTAATGTGAAATCATTTTGAAAATTTGAGTAATGTACGTACACAAGACACTGTTGTTTTGTCGTATGCAGGTTAGAAGCTGTCCCCGTTATCTCCTTGTAATGGGTTCATTCAGCTTCTTTTGCTGATGCTTAGTGAGTAGTCCAAGGTAAGGGAAAATCCAAAAGAGCTTCAAGTAAGAGTTCACGTAATATATCTTACCTCTTTTTTGGTTAAAGAAATGAAGCCAAAAAATGCCCTACCAAAACTGAAATGAAGATTTTAAGACCTTTACCTCCTAAAAGTGTACGTGATTTGGAGGTTTTACGTCCAAATGACGTAACTTACAAAAGATCACCTTTAATTCGCAGTATTAGGAACACATTTGGAATGCTGAGGGAAGCTGTTTTAGTAAAAATCAAGTGTCTAATAATCAGTGGACTCACAACTGATTGTCACTAGCCTGACAACTTTTATATCTAGAATAAATTAAAGAATATAAAAAATATAAGGCAGAATACATTAATGAATACAAGAGTCAGTCCTTTAGCTCCTACTCTTTTTCTTTGAAAAATGAACTAATAAGTTCATTGCTGTGGGCAAGAATATAGATTTGACATTAGGAAAAACTAAAAATGTATTGTCAGAATCCATCTCTGAAAAGTTTTAATATAGGCATAGACATATATGTATCAAGCTTAGTGCTAAGAAAAATGGTTTCGGCAAATTCTATCTCTGTGAATATATGAAAAACAAAAACACACTTTCATTTTCTTATTTTACAGGGGCCTTTGGAAGTTGCCCAGGTTTTCCTGTCTGAAATACCCAGTGACCCAAAGCTCTTCAGACATCATAATAAATTGCGACTCTGCTTCAAAGATTTTACTAAAAGGTATTCAAGGTTTCCTACATAAAGATATTCAGATTGAGACTGTCCAATACACAGTTTGATGTGAGAGTCTTCAGGGACTATTGAAAAGAGAAACTATAGGAAAATGGTTCACAATGAGAGGTTGTCTGTGTATAACTTACTATGCCTTATGTATGTATATCCCTGCCCCCCAATACTGTGTATAATGCCATGTTTTAAATTTTAAAGATTAGAAAAGCCTAGACTCAGGAAATTTTTTCAACTTGAAACTATTATTAGGTTAACATTTAACTTGAAAGCTGTTATTTATTGTGAACATAGAATGTGAGAGTTTCTGTTTCCTTTCCCTCAGAAAATATACAAGCAGCAAACATGGAAGCAAAAAATTTACGTTCAGATCTTATCCTTATCATTTTATGTCTCTTTTCCAGGTCACTTAATCATTATGATCCTCAGTTTTCTAATGTATGAAGTAAGGATAATAATATTTACCTCATACAGGGAGGTTGTGCAAATTAGGTGAAATAATCCATGGTGTCAGGGTCCCCAAGAACACCCCCAGTTTTGATGATTTGCTAGGAGGACTCACAGGACTCAGCATGTAGTTGTAGACCTGGTTATGATTTGTTACAGTAAAAGAGTGCAAAGTAAGATCAGCAAAGGGAAAAGGCACAGGGGGTGAAGTCTAGAGGAAACCAGGTATAGGCTTCAAAGGGTGCTCTCCCAGTGCAGCCACATAGGAGGTGCTAATTGTTCCAGCAAAGAGTTGTGGCAGCATATGTGAAATGTTGTTTACCGGGGAAGGTCAGTAGAGACTCAAGTGCCAACCAGTATTTTTATTGGAGGCTGGTCATGTAAGCACCTTTTCCCTGACAGGTACCAAAATTCCAGACTCCCAAAAGGAAAGCAGGTATTTAGCAGAAACTATAGTGTTTGTATAAATAGTTCAGGCACAGTGAGCCACTCTTATCTTCTGGGTATGATAGGAACCCTTCCCAAATCCAAATTCCCAGACAGTAACCAAGGGCCAGCCTTGCAAATAGGACCTAAGGATAGCAGGCTCAGGCCTGCTGTTAACTCTTTTCTTCACAAATAATACTTGGCATGTAATAAATAGGTATTCAGTAAATACTAAATTTTGAAACAATACGGGAAAATAGTCATCAACTTGATACTGATTCCTGCTTTACTAACACTATGAGCACAAAAGAGGGAATGATAATTTACTTGATGATGTCAGGGAAGATTTCACACAGGAATTAACATTATATATGGACCCTGAAGGATGAATATTAGTTTTTCAGGCAGAAAAGAGGGGGAAGGGTATACTAAAAACAAACAAACAAAAAAACCAGCATGAGCAAAGTTCAGAATCTGTTCTGAGAGAGATGAATAGTTTAGTGAAGCTGGAACTGTGCAATCTATGAAAACAAGTAGTCAGACACTGGGAAAGTAGGTTGGAATTAGATTGTATGGGCCTTGTGTACCATTAAGTAAATGACTTGTCACTTAACAAAGCAGCATCAGAACCATAGTCAGAATCCAGTCTTTGACTCCCTATTATGGTTTCTCTTATCAAATTATGAACTATGGTTTCCCTTATCAAATCATTCATTGAAAGGGTTTATTGGGGTAGACAGAATTTTACTTTATATCAGTTTTGTCGTCAGGAAAATATGAGGCATGCTAACTTGTTCAAGTCTCTTGAGACAGTATTTTCCTTACTCTCACTGCAATAGCTGTCATGAATATCTGTCAGTTTCTCCTGCGTGAACATGGTAAATGTCTTTTAAAAACTTCAGATAGCTTCATTGGAAGTCTGGGATTTTATAATCTGATTATTGAGCTAGACAACCTTATAGGTTTGGTTATAGGAAACATAGCTCCTAATGTATGGTATAGATGAGCTGCCATAGTAAAAGAAAGAAAGCTGCTTTGTACTTGTAGAATTAACTGACTTCTATTAGGACTGACATATACACACTACTGTATATAAAACAGATAACTAATGAGGACTTACTATATAGCACAAAGAACTCTACTCAATACTCTGTAATGGCCTATATGGGAAAAGAATCTAAAAAAGAGTTGATATATGTATATGAATAACTGATTCCCTTCGCTGTACACCTGAAACTTAACACAACATTGTAAATCAACTATACTCCAATAAAAATTTTTTAAAAATTTATTTCTAACATTAATTTTATTATTTGGGAGGTTTCAAATAAGAACCAAAATATCCCTGCTGTGCTTGTGAGCCAGATGATCTTGAAACAATACATACTTCTTTAGGTCATAGACATTTAATAATAGATGCTTATTTTCTTGCTATTATTTTGGAATTTTTACCATGACTACGATTCTAAAACAAGTGTCCTCCTCTTTGTGTATATTTAGTATAGGGTAATGAAGCCCTGTAGTCTGCAGGTCTCCTTAAGGGTTACCACAGAGAAGGTTTTCTCCTTTTAAATTACAGAAAGGAAAAAAACAAAACAAACTACATGATATAAACCTTACAAGTCATAGCCAATACTGCCTTTTTAATTTTTGTGTGTATATATTTTTATGCCAATATGCATATATATTTTACCATAGTTCAGTTATAATATACATATTATCTTAAATTCTTATTTTTCAATTAAAGTTAAAACTGTTATTCTAATAGTTATATTATCTCATCAAATGTCTGAATTTATGTTGAATTTAAGTGTGGTATAGTTAACAAATGTATCGTTTTTCTTTTGTTGAATTAAAATATTAAGCATGAGATGACTGAGCCAAAGTACATAAACATTTTTATTGGCCCCTCATATGTAGTCTATTCCAAAAAGGTTCTAAATATTAACAGTGCCAAGAATGCAAGTGTACTAGTCACAGTACACCTTACTTTAAGTAATGCCATTTAAATAGGGTGTCTCTTGTTAATCAGTTTAAATGGTACTTCAGTTTGCATTCTTTTATTCCTAAAAACAATAAACACTTTTTCTTGCATTTACTCTTTATATTTTGGGGCTTATCATTTAAAACTTGTTTTCATTAAATCTTGAGTAGATTCAAAATAGTATTTATAACATTTGCTATTAAAGAATAGGGAGGAAAAAGTCATGTACCTGCCACCCAGCTTTTAAGAAACAGAGCATTATCATTGCTTTGAGATCCCTCCTCACATGCCCTTTTCTGATATTATCACCCTCCCTTCCTTCAGAGGTAACCACTACATGAATTTCATATTTGTCATTTTCCTTATTGTTTTCATAGTTTTATCATAAATGGATATATCCCTATTACACTATTTAGTTTTGCATGTTTTTTAACTTTATGTAAATGGAGTGTACATATTCTTCTGTGACTTGCTATTTTTAATGTTTGTGAGATATTGCTGTAATAAATGTTGCTTTATTTATTTTATATGTTTCATTGAATGGATGTGCCATGATTTATTCATTCTTCTGTGGATGGACATCTTGGCTGTCTCCTGGTTTTTGTTTTTTGTTGTTTTTTAGTTACAAAGAATACTATTCAAATATTTCTTTACCTACTTCTGGAGGTACAAGAGATAGCCTAGGGCTTATATACCTAAGAGTAGTGTTGTTGGTTCATAGGTTCTACTTCAACCAGATAATGTCACATCTTTTTCCAAAGTGTGAAGCCAGATTTACATTCTCACCGGTAGTGTTTGAGAGAGTTCTTATTGCTATGTAACCTCACCAATATTTGATATTGTCTGACAGTTTTTTACCAATCTTGTGGGTGTGGAATGATTATGTGATTATGGATTAAGTTTGCATTTCCCTGATTACCAGTGAGGTTGGACATCTTGTCACGTGCAAGATGTAAAGTTATATGTTCAAGTTATTTTTTTGTTTTTTTTTTTTTTGCCATTTCCTATTGGATTCTTTTCCTTACGGATTTCTAAGAGTATTTACATATTCTTGGATATGTAATGCTTTATCATTTGTAAATATCATAGACACCTTCTCTGAATTTGGGGCTTAGCACCTTTTTTTTAATAAACAGAAGTTGTTAACTTTAATATAGTTAAATAATTCAGTCTTTTCTGTTATGACTATTGCTTCTTGTGTCTTAAGAAATTTTTTACCTGAGGTCAGAGTAACATTCTATGTTGACTTCTAAAAAGTCAATATAATGGTATCTCTAAAATTCAATATAGCCTAAACAAAAGGGCAAGAAGGCAAAAAAGGCCTTTTTACTTTTTAAAAAAAATCTGCTTAAATTTGATTTTTGTATATGGTTCAAGGAAGGGATCAGTTTGATTTTTGTCTGTACTGGTAACTGAATATGATGTAAGATAGGGGTCAGATTTCTGTTCCCATATGGATGTGCAGTTGACCCAGCACCACTTATTTCAAAGATTACCCTTTCTCCACTGCTTTGCACTATTACACATCAAGTGCTCACTTTGTGTGCATCTGTTTCTAGGATCTTTGTTTTCTTCCACTGTTTACTTATCTCTCCTTGAACTAATATTATGGTGTTTTAATTACTGCAGCTTTATAATAAACTTCCATATATGATAGAGCAGTTCCTCTCATTTTGTTCAAGGACTACTTTTGGCCCTTTTCCTTTTGATATAAATTTCAAATTTTAGAATCAATATATCTCTCCCTCTACCCCACCCCAAATAATAACCTGAATCTGAATCTATAGATCAACTGGAAGAGAATTGACTCTTCCAGTCCATGAATACGGTATACTTCTCCGTTTACTTAGATCTTCTGAATGTTTTTTTTTTTTTAATTTTTTTGTAGAGGCCTTACGTATCTTTTGACTTATTCTTTGGTATTTAATATTTTTATACTTTTGTTAATGGTATCTTTTAAAATTATATTTTCTGTTTGCTGGCATACAGAAATGTAGTTGAATTTTATATGCTTTACATGAGAATACTGCCAAATTCACTTGTTAATTCTAATAATTTGTCTGTAGAATCTCTTTCTTACAGTAATGTTTAGGACCTCCATTACTGTGTTGAATGGGGATAGTGATAGAGGGCATCATTTTCTTGTTTCTGATCTAAAAGAAATTTTTTCAGCATTGAGTATAATGTTTTCTTCATGTTTTTGTAGATATTTTTAATTAGGTGAAAGAAGTTCCTACCTGTTTGTAGTTATGCTAAAAGTTTATCATGACAAATTTTAAAATTTTATCAGGTGGGTTGTATGTGGGGAGTAGGGATGTAATATGGTGTTAGAACAGTTTCATAGTATTTTGTTTGGGAGTTTTGCAACTGTTTTCATGGGTGAGATTGAATTATAAGTATTTTCTTATAGCCCCCATTAGGTTTTGGTATCCCAACCTTGAAAAATGAGTTTGAAACTCTTCTCAGGAATAGTTTTTTTCCCCTTACACCCTGGAATAGTTTTTTATATACTCTGGAATAGTTGTGTTACAAAGTGATTATCTGTCCTTAGAATGTTTAGTAGAATTTGCATGTTTATGTTTTCTTTGTGGGTAGATTTGTGATTTGACTGATTTGACGGTTTTAGGATTATTCATATTTTTGTTTAATAAATTTTATTCATACTTTTTGCTTAATGTTTTTGGTAATTGATCTAGAAAAGTAGAATTTCATATTTATTTGCATTAAATTGTACATAATATCCTCTGTGCCTTTATAAACTTATGCTATATTTGACTTTATGTCCCGTTTTTTATTTCTAGAAGAGGATACTTGGCCTTTTCTCATTTATTCTTGCCAGAGCTTAGTCTATTTTTTTAGATTTTTCTGACAACCAACTTTTGCATTTTTTAGTATAGAGCTATCATACTTTAACATTTTATTCCGTTCCTTATACTTTGAGTTTATTCTGTTCTTTTTAAGTTGCTTGTTAGCTCTTCAGTTTTAGTCTTCTTTCCTTAATATAAGCATTTAAGGCTATATGTTTTCCTCTAAGTATCACTCTAGCTGCATTCTACAAGTATTGATATGTATACTTTTTTTAAAACACGCTTTTTCCATTTATCTATTGGAGTCCAGATATTTTTTCTTAAATATCTGAATAAGTTGGATAAAAGATATTATCAGATCTATTCAGTTGTTAAGAAACATTTATTTGAATAAAGGCAAACCACTGTACGAGATGCCATTGTTGCTACATAAATGAGTACGGTTACATCCCTTAAAGAACTTTTAGTCTAGTGGTGATGTGTGGGGGAAAAAAGGGTGTCAGATTTAATATTAAAGTATATATAATTTTCAATTGTGAAAACTGGAAGCGGATGTTAGATTTTAAAGAAACTCTGTTGATCATCTGTTCCCTGCTTTAAACCTAATTGCAAGAGAGGATGTTTTACATACAACTGAAAAACTCAATGTCCTTGTCATGGTGAATATATATATATATATATATATATATGCATGCCCTAAAAGTATGCCAGAAGAACTCTTTTGATAACACACTGTTTTTCCTAGGTGTGAGGATGCCTTAAGAAAAAATAAGAGCTTAATTGGGCCAGATCAAAAGGAGTATCAAAGGGAACTGGAGAGAAACTATCATCGCCTTAAAGAGGCCCTACAGCCTCTGATAAACAGAAAGATCCCTCAGTTATACAAGGCAGTATTACCTGTTACCTGCCACAGGTATGCTTATTTTTTCTATTACTTTGGATATCTTCAGAAAAATGAAATCTGCTTTAACTATTTAAAAGTGAATTTATTTAACTTTTATTAAATGGTTTCAAATATTGTCTTCTGAAACCTAACAAGTTCAACTTATGTAAGCCTTTCATCATCTATACCTGAATCAGCCTACAAGATAAAAGTCAGTTCTTTCTGTAATAAAGAGAATAATAAAGTTGTTTTAAGAACTCATACTAACCAGGAAACCACACATAAGTCTGGCCTCCTAGAACTGTTCCTTTTAATGTCCTGTCACACTTTCTGGTATTTCTATGAGAGAATTTGCTAGAATATACTTGAAGCCAGGTATTCACTTCCCTTATCCCTGACAGTAAATAGTATAGAGTATGTTCGTCTAGATTTGTATTAAAACAGATAACCCCACTGAGTATCAAGATGACTTCACTATTTTTCTTCACTTTCTAATTGTGACAAATAAAATTAGAAGTGGAGGTAACCTGGAATTTTCTACAACTGACCATAATTCTACTTGAGCAGATAATTTAATCTTAGATTTCTCCTCTGTAAAATAATACCTTGACGAGGTTGTTGTGGAGATTAAATGGCATGTGAAGTTCCAAGGACAGTGCTTATCCTTTTAACCCCTGAATTCCAGACAGGGCATGTTAACTGCTAAAAGTAAACTGCCTTCTTTGCATTTTGAAGTCCAAATGTACATACATCTATTGAATTGTTGTGGCACCAATATTTTACCACCCTTTTCTTTGAATTATGGCAGTGAAGCTATTAAATTGTACTTACCTGATCAATTAATATTTGGAAGGTCTTTGAAGTTGCTTATATAAATGGAATGTAAATGCAAAGTATAATAATACTACAGAAGAAAGTTTAACTAGCTATTTGATCAAATGAGAATATTCCCTGTTCTTCAGTGATCTAATATTTGTGTACTTCTAGGCCTCTGAAAATGTATACCAAGTGCCTGCTGTATGTCTTGTCCCCTACAGGGAGCATGTAGACAGACCATCTACAGGAACAGGAGACGAGGAGGCCTGTTTTAGATCCTTTCTCTGGCAGAATATATTATATTTTGCTTCCACCATCCTTACAGTGATGCAAGACACCCTGGGTGGTTTCCTCTTGAAATTCTTGATGGGAAGCAACACTAGTTCCCTCCACTTTGGGCTTCCCTTTCAATCTTTTTGGAATGTCTTACTTCTTGCTGCTCTACCCACCTCCACCAGTCTTACAGTCATTGGTGAGAGGTCCTGGGATGGGGTGCTGGGTCCCTGAAGTAGTCAGGAAGTCTCCTAATGGTAGTCTCACTTCCATCAAATCTCTCCAGCTCCTTTCAATGGACAATATTGTTCCTATCTGAAGGAAGCTTTCCATTACACCATTACCCTGAGTTTTGCCTTCCTCTCTGATGGTTATTCCTCCAAGCTTTAGTTCTTAATATTTGCAGGCAGTTTTTTGGAATTTAGAAAATCCTTTTTCTTGATGAACACTCTTTTAAGACTGCTATTTTCCAGGAAAAAACCAAGCTTCAAGATTCAAAGCTGAACATGATCTCTTTGTACCTGTCCTCTCCTTTCCTGGAGATTGGAAACCTTAAGAGACTATTAACGTTAATGGCAGGAAAGATAAGCAAAACAAACCAGCTTAAGGAAAAAGGAAAATACATTAAGTATTGAAGAATTATCCTCTTCACTCTTAATTTCTTCAGCACTTAGAAAATAAAATTCCCGTAGAACTTGAACTTTTTATTTTGCTGATTTACAAAATCTGGAATATTATTTTGCAGAAAGCTTAGGAGGTTTTAAGATGGTGGTTCTCACGGTATAATCTGGGACCCATGCAACGGGTCCCTCGGACCTTTTCAGGAGGTTCCTGAGTCAAAACAAATTTTCATATTAATGCCAAATATTTTTTTCATGCTCATTCTCTCATGAGAGTACAGTGGACTTTCCCAGAGACTACGTGCCATGTAAAAGATTGAATGCAGAAGCAGATATTAAGAATCTAGGGGCTTCCCTGGTGGCGCAGTGGTTGAGAGTCCGCCTGCCGATGCAGGGGACACGGGTTCATGCCCCGGTCCGGGAAGATCCCACATGCCGCGGAGCGGCTGGGCCCGTGAGCCATGGCCACTGAGCCTGTGCTCTGCAACGGGAGAGGCCCGTGTACCAAAAAAAAAAAAGAAAAAAAAAGAATCTAGGCTTTTTAAGCCAGATGTTAAATATGTAAGACTGCCACTCTTCTAAAACTCTTGCAAATTACTTTTAATAAACAGTGCTGTTTACAGTAACATGTAACAGGTTATTTTATAAAATAATTTTAAATGTTCTTAGTTTTAATTTCTAATATGGTAAATATCAATATATAATCCATAAACAAAAGCTTCCTTGGGGGGGTCCTCAATTTTTAAGAGTGTATAAAGGACCTAAATCCCAAAAAAATGAGAACCACTGATTTAAGACTTAGAATTTAATATTTTAAGTAAAACACTTGCATTTTGCCTTTTAAATTAAACCCCAAGTAAATCTTTTCCTTAAATCTCTCCCATTATCCCTTAGTTCTTGTTTAATCATAATACCTAATATATCTTTTGGACAAATGAATAAATGATCAATGGACTTGGATAGAGTGGTTACTATAATATACTTCTAATCTATAGAGAACTCTACAAGTTAGAATATATAAGGCAGAGTGTGTAGGATAAGCATGTAACTTGAAGTGTTAAAAGAGCTTTGGTGGCAAAAAAAGTTTTAAAGTCAATAAGCTTTTGGTGGCAAAACTTTGAGATAATTGGCAGAAAGAAAGCATGTAAACATATTTTACAGGATTATATAAAAATTGTTTACTTATAACTATATCCTTTCATTTTCTCTCCAGGGATTCCTTCAGTCGAATGAGCCTGCGCAAAATGGATCTCTAATATAAATGCACTTGTTTTATTCATTTGAAAAAAGCCATGTATTCAACATTGAGTGTGAAAAGAATTTAAGAACTTTTGAAAAAGACTTGGGACTTAATTCTGGAAATTATAGTATTAATTTACTCATGGAAGAATGCAGTGGCCAAACAATATCAAATGGCGATCGCTGAAGTTTGAGAATCATGGCTGTGGTTTCTAATGTTCTGGTAATATGCTGTTATCTTTTTTAAGACATTTTAATGACTCAAAGGTACACTTACATTTACCATTATTTATACCATAGCTAATGTTAAATTTATTTACTTTAAGTTTGTATTTTTTAATTTATATTACCATTTATAGATTCGTTTTGGAACCATTTTAAATGTAGTAATTCTTATTTTAAAGGTACTATTAAATATGTGAATGTTTACACTAATTTTACTGAGACTAAAAAAAATTTTTTTACTGACAAAAGCAGAGAATAAGTTAGTTGATTCAAGAAACAGTTCCAAAAATAGCAAAATGAAAATCATAATTGACACTTTATGGGCCCAGATAATAGCCCCAAAATTAAATAAATGAATAAATTAATGGGTGGAAATAAATTATTGATAACGGGTTTGTAAAGTCTTAAAACTGGTTTCTAAGGTATTTTCCATTTAGGCACACAAAAAAGGGATTTAGAATTGCAGAAGAAACTTTACGTGATAACTTCTGTCTATAAATAACGATTACATACTGGGATAGCTAATACCAGTGACAGTAGTTTGACTCTCAACATTATAGTAATGATAGTAGTATAAGCAGACCCGTAGCAACTAAAATGAATGATTCCTGTTTTAAATTAAACAAGACAGTCACTTCATCAGTTTTTAGTGTTCTAAACTGGTAAATTAGAAATCTGCTTTAAACTTATCTTACATCCCCATAAAAATAAGAGAGCTGGTGTTTGATTTTAATCTACCAGCTGAATGAGGTAGTTATTTTTTGATTCTTGTATAGATTTTACAAAGTGTATGTATAAAAGGTAAAATTAGCTGTTAATTAAGAGCTAATTATTTAAAATTGTAACTTTATGATATGAAAGACTAATGCAGGTTTTTTTCCAACATATATTTCAATTATTTGGCAAGTTTTTCCAAGGAAGTGCATATTAATCATTTCTGGAAGTGTTTGAACATTTTTTCTTTGTGCAGTATTGTAACTTATAGAAAGGTATCACTTGTAATCTATCCCTTTGATCTACTGATCACTTACATGAATCACTTAAGAACTGATCGAATATGGTACCTTCATTCTCCTGAGAGCGTAGATGTGACGGCTGATATTCCCCGCTCCAGCCTACCTTTACAACAGGCAGTATTATCTCAGATTCCTCTTACCTAGATCAATTCAAAGACCGAATCACAGAAAGGTTTTTCAGGTGAGTCTACAGGTGGACCACAACAGGTGAAGTAGGAGTCAGAAAAGCATAACCTCAAAAATATATATTTGGGAACAGAGGATCCAGATGGTCAGTAAGGAAAGGCAGAGTCAAGAACGGAAACTCTTTAAAGCAAACAGAAAAGAAAAGGTAACTTATTTACATACTCTCTCCCTCTTTAGGGTGGGGGTGGGGGGAAGAATATTAAGTAATTCCTAGGTAATTTCTCATAAAGTTACACCTGTGTAAGAGTTTGGATTGTCACCTATCTCAGGGACAATATCAAGAACTTTAAGATTTATATAATTACGATTTAATTATCAGACTAATTGTCTGACGTGAAATCAGAAGAGGATTCCTTTCTTAAAACACTGGTGTAACATTTCCTTCCTAACTTACCGTGTTCTTCAATTTTCTTAAAACAAACTTTCTCATATCAGAAATCTACACTAGTTCTTAACTAGTATAGTTCTGGGCTGTCTCTTGAGTGTTACAGAAGCCCTAGTTCTATCCTAGAACTACTCCATCAGAAGCTTATGAGTAGTGTTCAAGGCTGTTTCATTTTAAAAGTTCTGTTAGTGACTCCTACTCCCTCAGCTGCTTATGGTTAGTGTTCAGGGCTGTTCCTTTTTAAAAGTTCCATTAGTGATCCTGAACACAGAAAGTGGCAAGGACTGTGACTTTTTACATCACACCATCTTGTGAAAGAATGTGTAAGACATTAACTGTGTAGTTTATTAGTTGACAGGTACTCTTTCTTATTTGTTGAAGTAGTGTATAACAGTGTTATTCCAAGAGTTATCTATTCTTTGGAATTATATTTCATATTCTTAATATCAAGAATGTCCTTTAACAAGTCATAGTCGATCATTTACCAATTTAATATATTTAAAGTGAAAATATGACCAAGTTTTTTGTGTGCCCAAAGCCTCACCTTAAGTTCTCCAGTTTTGGATTCCATAGTTATATGTCTAAAGGGTATCTAGGTATGACAATTCAGATGGACTAAGCACAATTTCTCCTATTTGAAATACAATTTCTTCACCTCCAAATGTCAGAAAGTATTATTAAAGGTAATTATGCATGTTTATTCTCTTCTATATATATATATAATATGTGTGTATAGTATGTGTATATATACACACACTTTTTTTTAAGAGAATCCAGCTATATTTATGGTAAAAAATATGCAAGTAAAAAAATCCTCAAGCATTTGTATACACAGTTGTTAAGCAGTTTAAATTTTATTGACCTCCTGGTTTTTTTAAAAAAGTTAAATTTAAGGTCACACCTCTAAGTTCGATGCATTATATACAGATCGTGCAGAGTATGACTATGAAGAGATACAAATTAGTCCACACTGAAAAAGATTTACTAGGGTACAGAATCATTTTCATAAATACATATAAAATTCTTGTGAAGATAGAAGAGGACTGACTCTTCAGGTTTTCTGAGACGCTTTTCAAAGTGATTGAAGGCACAAAATGTGCACTATTGTGAATACATACACGCGCCTCTAATACAGCCCATCCAAGATCTGGCTTTATGACTTACAAAACTAAATGTACTGAAATGAGATTCTGCTTCTTAGCTGAAAAACCACAGAACCTATAAACATCATGTAGATAAGTACTCCAAAATATGGAGATACAAATACAAGCACTTTATTTGAAAAAGCAAACACAAAAGATAGGTGTAAATTCAAAGTGTTTAAATGCTTCCATTTTGAATAATTCAGTTAAGAACCTATACAAGTTTGTTCCCAGAAGCTAATGCATCAATCACTAGTCTCCACTAAGGAAAATGAATTCTAAAAATTAACATGGATTTCAATAACTCAAATTTTACTATTTATATAAAAACCCAGAGAAACCAATAATATCCAATAGCTTCAAAAGATAAGCTAAAGACTTTTTGATGTAATCAATTTACCGATGTTTGTCCAGGTCTGTTTAATATATACACAAGGAAAATACACTCACTCTATAATTTCTTATAAAATAGCAAGTAAGGAGTAGATGTAGGAGATGTAGAAGGGGAAAGAGAATTTAAAAAGTCCTTCTCTTCAGTAACTTTCACTTCAGAATCATCAAAAAGCAACCACTTCCCCTCATACTCCTTTAAGCTTTGCACTACATATGAAATTTTGTTTTCAAAACCACTCATGTTAATGCCTGTTTGGTCATTGGATTCCTTGTTTCTATCAGATTCATGGGTCCCATTAGTATTGTTAGTCTCAGAATTTCTATTTTCAGCAAATGCTGTACTGGCAGCTTTATCAGGATTAGATGCTTTGTTGTATAGCTCATAATCTGCTTTACTCTTTTGTCCTCCAAGAAGTCCAATAGCTTCTACATTTTTTTTGTTCAAAACTTTACTTGGCTGGGTATTTCCACTGACTCTAATCGACACTTCTTCATCGTCATAGTTTTCGACCACACCCCTTGCTTCCTCCTCATTCAATGGTTCTGGCTTACCTATTTCACACATTTGGTCGATCACAAAATTTTCCTTATCTAGTTCTAAACTGTTAAGGTCAGTGACTTTAACAGAAGCAGTATAATGCCCACTACTAATTGTAATGCCACTATGCATCACAACTGCAAATAATCCATAGCTGTCGTTGGTTGGCTTTGTGCTCCATTCTTCTAGTGACAGTTTAAGAGGTGTCAGTAAAGGAGTGTTGATCTTGGAAAGTCCACCACCATAACAATCAAACCTTTGGAAGGGGGGAAAAAAAAAGGTTTTCTGGGATTCCACTTCATATATATTCAGTTTTACCCCCAGTGTGAAACCAAGTAAGTCTGAATGAACCCTTAATATTTACTGCTCATATGAATAAAACACAAAGTAAAAAACAAGACCCCAATTTTGTATAATACTTACACAAAGAATACTGAAATAAGTACTAATATTCAGGTGCTTCTGTGAAGGATATATGGCACTTCCCCCCTTAATTTTCTTTATTTTCCTAATTTTGTGCAATAAGAAAATAAATGGCATTAAAAAAAAAGCACTGATCTTCAAAATCCTTTTCCTTTATACTTAGTAAGTCATTTCAATGTGAAGTCTGTCTCTACAACCAAGATTTGGGGACAAAAAATAAAATTGTACTGTAGCAAAGGAAAAAGCCATTGAAAGAAAGGACCCTGTCATCTTCTGGCGTAAGAAAATGTGTGGAGAGCTACTGGTAAGCTCTCGTGGTAATTTCAAACAACTGATTAATACAGAAAGGAATAAAATCTACAATGACATGTATACATGTCAGAAAAAGACTATCTAAAATGTAACTGGCATTTTAATATTTATTATTGCTTTCAGATATTTAAATTTTCAACTACAGAAGAATCTCTCAAATTGTTCAGACTAGTTTTATTTCCTGGCTTACTTACCTTAAAACTAAAATAATTTTGCTTTTTTGCTCACCTCAAAAAAATGTTGATGTATGTATGAAATTTGGTTCCTGCTTTAATCAATTAATTAAAATAATCAAATAAGGAATGAAAATGAAAAATGTGTGAACAAATCATATGCATTCATACCAGAAGGATTTAAACTTGATGCGTTTTTACAGGGAAACTTAATAAAACAATAAACTTTTCTAAGGCAATATTTGTAAATTACTTCATTTCAGTAGTTTCTATTACACTATTGTACTGTTTCCTTACTATCTTAGCATTTTGAACAAAACTTTAGAATACTCACTCCAAGCCACTAGCAGCAAAGCACTTCAAATGAATAGTTATAACTTCAGGCATTTTGTCAAACAAAAGACTTCGTTCAGCTTCAGTATAATGATGGCAATTTTCACAGAAATATTTATCTTCTCCTACAATCCTCTCCACTGAAGCAAACTGTGAAATTGCCCATCTCAGGGTCTTCATTTCTGTTTTTGGCTCTGGAGAAACTACACAAGAGAATCCTGTCACTCACAAATGAAAAATCTCTCAGAAATTAAAAACTTAAGCCACAAATTTTTATGTTCAGAATTAGCATACAATTTTAATTGACTAATCCTCCCCAAATAATAACTAAAGAGATTTCTTTTTTTTAGTTTCACAAACATGTAAGTTCATCGACAGTGCACATACCTCTAAATATTTATATCTGGTCAGCCAAAAAATATTGAGGTCAGGGACAGCAAAATCAATATAAGCCCTACCCTCTGACTCCATGTGAGAAAGACTTTATATTTAATAGTCAATTTACATTATCTGAACAAGTAAACCAGTCTCATGATCACTTCCCATGGCATTACTACACTTTTTGTGGTTTATACAAGAAAAAACACTGGCTCAAATATGGTGTTAACAAAAATATCCTCAGTAGCTCTGAGATT